CTGGCACCACCTCCCAGGGGACCCCACCACCTCACCTCTGTTGCCTCCCCACTTTGCCCCCGAAGCCAAGGATGTCTCAGTGAGGCCAGGTTCCATAGGAGTGAAGGTTTCCTTCTGGGGGCTCTGCCTGTCCCCTTGTATATCCCTCCGATGTCCTTGGAATCTCTGTGTTGGGGGCACTCTTCTGGCTTTTTCAAGAAGCTCTGCCCTGGCTGGGTCTGAGCAGTTGGGAGGAAGCCACGGGGCCAGGGGCCAGGCTGAGGAGAAAGCCGTTGAAAGGGATGCAGATGAGGTCTTCCATTGAAAGTTAGGTAGTTCCGTTGAAAGCGAGGTAGACGTTGAAAGTTGCTTCAAGGGAACATGTTAGTTAGCGTTCTCTTCTCTGTGAGAGAATTTTTACCTCACAGGAACAACTTGAGGAGGAAAGATGTATTTTGGTGTATAGTTCCCAGTGATTTCAGCTCATGGTTTCTTGGCCCCATTGCTGTGGAGAGCATCATAATGGGGAGCGTGGATGTAGTGAATCATTTCATGGCAGCCAGGAAGAATGAAGGGAAAGGAAGGGGAAGGAATAAGACCATCAAATTATTAATTCATCAGTGTGTTTTGTGATCATTATTGTTTTTTTGTTTGTCTGTTTCTCTTTTTTGGAGGGGGGCAAAGTCTCAACATGTATCCTCCTTGGCTGGTCTGGAGTTTGCTATGTAGATCAGGCTGGCCTCAAACTCACAGAGATCTACCCGCCTCTGCCTCCTGAGTGCTGGGATTAAAGGTGTGTGAGACCACCGTACCCGGCCCCCATCAGTGTCTAAATTTATTGATTAGGACAGAGCCCTCATGATCCAGTTATGTCTCAGTGATTGGACCCACCTCTCTACCTTCAAAATGCAAGCCTTACTTAGGGGGATATTGCATAGTTGAACTATAACGAGGAGAGAGAAGCGTTGAGGGGACTCCGGCTGGTGTGGAATAGGCAGGAACTTGGGCCAGCTTGGGAGAGAAGGCATTGTGGGGGTTGGGGGGATGAGATGGCAGCTGGAGAGAGGTTTGTCAGACATCAGAAAGACTGACAGACTGCAGGGCACTGCTGAGCGACACTTAACGGTCTGTATGGTACGGTGGAGAGAGCCAGCCGGAGAGCTGCTACCCCAGGGCGGGCAAATGAGCTGTCTTCTAGCCTAGCTCTCCGGGGTGTTTCCTCTTCCCCAGTAGCTCTAAAGTAGATGGGCCTTACCTTCCGAGTTCCAACCTCCATAGAGCGTCCCACAGGGGTCCCATTGTGTGATTGTGACCGAAGGCGTCGTGGGCCTGGCTTGCTAACACTCTCTCTCACTGCTCTTTCCCGCCCATCTGCATGTGGCTGCTCTGTCTAGCTGCGCGGTGGTCCCGAGTGCCGGCTGTGTAAGTGAGCATGCCCATCCCATGCCTCTCGCAGTCCACATGCTGTGTGCCTGGCTGCCCCTGGCTGCTCTGCATGGCTGTGTGGGGCTTGGGTGCTACCGACGGCGGCGACTGAGACTATCCTTGGCCATAGTAAGGGGTCGAGACGGGAACGAGGGGCCGTGGGAGTAGGTTTCCTTTAGAGCGGCCACCTCAAGGCTGGCCTCCTCCCTCCAGCCAGGCAGGCCCCCCCTGGGGCAGGGCTGGAAGTCCAGGAGCCTGCCAGGCGAGGCTGGGACTTGAGGACGTACCATTTGCCTTGCGTGTCTGTCTCTTTGCTAGTGCATCTCTGTCATTCTTGCTGCATGTCTGCAGCAACACGTGGTCACCATTGCTGCTGTGGTGTTGCTCTTCTGTGCAGGGAGACTGCCTTCCCGTTATGGTGTGCTGTCGCCTCAGCCTCTTGGGCAGGTGTGAGCCCTACCTGATGTTCGTCTCCAGTGTTCATCATGGACCTGTTTGACCTTGCGCCACTGCCAGCCTTTACCATGACTCCGCTGTCCCTGAAACTGGCTTAGGTGTTTTGGGTCTGTTCGAGCTTGAGAACAGGGTTGGATGTGGGGAGTAGCGGTCAAGGTACTGTTCTAACCTTACAGTCCAGAGCGTCTGTGGATGGAACCCATACCCGGAGACTGTGTTAGAGGCTGGCAGTGAGGGGCAAGCAGCCGCTCTTGTCCATGAGAAACTCTTTCCTTCGGTGGTGAACTGCCCGTGGGGCCTCCGTGGAGAGCTGTGTGGGGGACTAGTTTACCTCTTGGAGTCCAGTCAGTCAAAGAATCCCCCCAGAGCAAGGCACAGGCCAGGATGTTTTTGTGTTTTGTTTTTGATTTTTTTTTTAAAAAAAAAGAGTGACCACAGGATATTCCTGCAGCCCTAGGCCTCCTGGCTCTGCTCCCCTCTGTCCACCCCGACTTGACTTTCCACCCCTCACCTGGCCCTCACCCACTCTCCCTCCGCAGGCTCTTCAGCAGCCTCGGTGAGCTGAGCACCATCTCAGCGCAGCGCAGCCCCGGGGGCCCGGGCGGAGGGGCCTCCTACTCGGTGCGGCCCAGCGGCCGGTACCCCCGTGGCGAGACGAGCCCCGAGCCCAGTGAAGCCCGCATCGCTGGAGCGGGTGGAGGGGCTGGGGGCGGGCGTGGGAGGCGTGGGGCGGCCCTTCGGCCTCACGCCTCCCACCATCCTCAAGTCGTCCAGCCTCTCCATCCCGCACGAACCCAAGGAAGTGCGCTTCGTGGTGCGAAGTGTGAGTGCGCGCAGCCGCTCCCCCTCGCCATCTCCGCTGCCCTCGCCTTCTCCCGGCTCTGGCCCCAGTGCCGGCCCGCGTAGGCCATTCCAGCAGAAGCCCCTGCAGCTCTGGAGCAAGTTCGATGTGGGCGACTGGTTGGAGAGCATCCACTTAGGCGAGCACCGAGACCGCTTCGAGGACCATGAGATCGAGGGCGCACACCTGCCTGCGCTCACCAAGGACGACTTCGTGGAGCTGGGCGTCACACGCGTTGGCCACCGCATGAACATCGAGCGTGCGCTCAGGCAGCTGGATGGCAGCTGACGTCCCACGCCCCCTCCCGTTCCTGCTGCGCCCTGCCGGCAGGGCCCCCACCCCTACTCCAGGCCGCAGGCTCGGCTCGCCCCCTACCACGGCGCCCGGGCCAGGAATGTTGCATGAATCGTCCTGTTTGCTGTTGCTTGGAGACTTGCCCTGTACATTGCTTAGTGCCCTCCCCTGCCGCTGAACCCCACCCAGCACACAGTAAGGGCGCGGACCAGGGGGGCTGGGTGGAAGGGGGTTAGGGCAGGGTGCTCTGGCCTGACCACCTCCTTCACAGCTCCTGGTGGCCATTCTCCCAGAGGGGGAACCTAGTCCAGCATGCGAGGTCAGGACACGCCTTGGTGACTGGGGGGAGGGGGGAGACATTGGGGTTCTCGATGGGGGCCAAGGAGCCCCCTGTTTTACATATTTTAATCCACTCTATATTTGGAACGAGAAAAGGAACAAATATCTCTGTCCGTAACAGTTCTCACCCTCTTCCCCTCTAGTCCTCTCGCTGGTCCCGCCACAGCTGCCCAGTCTTCCATCTCCGGCCCCTCACTGCCACCCCATACAGGGCAGGGGACACTCCAGCTGGCCTGGGGTTAGCCAGGGTCCTGGCAGCCCACCCTGGGGACCCCGGCTCAGCCCCCTTCCCTCGCTGAGCTATAGTATGCCCCACCCACCCTTTAGGTGCTGCTCGGGGGGAGGGTGGCAGGCATTGCCTGCTGGGCACTAGCAGGGCCAGGTGGCCTGGGAGATTATTGCCCTGGGGCTGGGCCCCCCGGTAACCCAACCCCAGCCATCATCTTCACAGGGTCTCTCCCAAAGGAGGGGTCTAACCTTCCCACTTCTTGGGCAACTACAGCAGAGAAGCCTCCCTGCCTCGCACCCCAAAGACTCCCCGTTCCTGCCCTGTGTGTGTGCCACATTATGTGTGTGCACGCCTGTGTGCTTGTGAAAACTGGGTGTGGCTGAGCGCATGGGTGCCCTGTATGTGCCTGATTGTGGAGTGGTCCCTGGGGGGCTGTTCTGGATGGGTGGGAGGTTGTGGAAGCTTGCACAGGGTGCATGCTTGGGTGTGTACCTGTGAAAGTGCCCTGTCTTCTCCAAAGAAAGGCTGCTCTTGGGTCGCGCTGTCTTCTCAGCCTGTTCTCCCTGAGCCTCTCCCAGCTTAAGCAGGGTTTCTTGGTGAATCCTTTCAGCTTCAGGAGGCCTCGAGGGCCCCCTGCAGACAGTACCCCCCTTTGGGCTTCTAAAGGGATTGTGGGGACCACTAAAAAAATCAGGCCACAACAGCCCTTGGAGAGAGGCAAAGACTCCTGAGGGTACCCTGGCCCCCTTACTGTGACTCCTCACACTCAGCAATGACCTGTGGGGTGGGGGGCCCTGGGGCATTTTTAAACATAGGGTTTGGAGTCTGGACTAAGCTCCATCCACGTCACTCACAAGTTTCTGTTTCTATTTCTAGCTTTTTTTAATAAAAAAAAAATAAAAAAGACAGAAAACAGATGTTTTCATGGCCCAGGGGCTCGGCACGCCGGTCTGTGCAGGCCCACCTGCCCCATTCCCTAGACAGAGTCACACCCACTAACCCTCTCACCAACAGACCAGGTCACACACACACACACAGCAGCAGTCACTGTAACAGACTGCCACATACAACACAGTCTCACATTTACCTGTGGGTTTTTGGTTCTGTTCAATTTGGGTTTTTAACTTTACAGGGTCAGTTCTGCTTCATCCTTCCTTTTGTATGGAGTTCCATCTGGGGGCTTTCACCCCCTGCTCCAGTCCTGAGGCCTCCTGACCCTGACGTTGTGATACACCCCACAGAGATCTATGTTTCTTATATTATTATTATTATTAATAATAATTATTATAATATTATGTAATAAATTTATAAGAAATGAAACCATGTCTCAGTTGCTTGCTTAGGGTTAGGGAGTAGATCCTGTTCCTCAGACAGGTCACACAAGCCCCACAGCCTTGACCCAGGGTGCTGCTGACTCAGCAATGTCTTTGGAGCAATCCTACTTGTAGACCTTCCTGTTAAGACCGACCTAAGACTGCTAGACCCTGGCTGAGGCTTTCTGCAGACTGTTTAACACCTCACTGGGTAGCATTTAAAAAAAAAAAAACTATTCATTTTTATGTCTGTCTGTGTCTGTGTAAGTGCCTGCCACCTGTGTGAGGGTGCCCTTGGAAGCCAGCTGGCATTTAGGCCGTCGTGAGCTCTCTGATGTGGGTGCCGAGGACCAAACTCCGATCCTCTGCAAGAGCGGCAAGTGCTCTTAATGGCCGAGCCATCTCTGCAGCCCTGGGTGACCACCTCTAGACCCATGGTCCTCCAAGATCACCGTCACTTTTTTTTTTCTTCCTCTGGTGCTGGGGACGGAACCCAGGCCGGTACTTTACCACTGGACAGTACAGCCACCCCACTTTTAAACCTAAGATTTGAAACCTTCCAGTGTCTAGTCGTTTTATAAAATCTGCTTTGAATTTTAAACTCCATGTCCCTCTCCACCGTGCTGATCCTTGGCTGCTGACCGTGTTTGGCCTCTCTTCCCTCAGGGTTGATGCAGTGGTTTCTATCTCCATTCCTACCTTCTGTCCCCAGCACCCCCAGATGGCAAACGAAGCTAGTGAAGGCCCCCTTATGCCCTGCTCACCTTTCCTATACTTTCTCTTGCCTGGCGCAGGCCTACCTGATGATGCTTCCAGCATCAGGACCTGTAGTCCTAGACTACTGTGGTGGCACTTCAAGGCTCGTCTGCTCACTTCTGCTTCCTGCCTAGATTGCCCACCCTTTACCACCCTCCGTGGCTGTGGTCCCCATCCCTTCTTCCTGGGGACTCCCCGTGTTCTGCTTTTTCCAGAGTTCAGGTTGGATCCTCGCAGCCCCCGGTGCTGTCTCAAATGAGAGGAAATTGGTGCTTCTCACCTTGGGTTGTCCCCCGTCAAAGGCCAGCGCTAGCTTCTCAAGGTTGTGATGTTTACCTTTTTCTGGTACCCTAAGCCATGCCCTGAACACAGACCTGACCTTCAAGAGCACGTTTACAGGCACATTACAGGCCAGCTGTCATCACTGGCCAATCACATAGCAGGGAACCCACACTTGGTGGCATTGAGACAGGTGTCTAGCCAGGAGCACAGTCAGGTGAACAGGCAGACAGATTCCTACTCAGCGAGAAGTTGGAGCAATCTTGGAGGGATCAAGAGATGGAACATGCCTGAAGGGAGGCGCTCCAGAGAGGCAAGTAGGTTAGAGGCTCAGGCATTATGAACACAGATGACAGACTCTGAAGTTATCTCGGAGTCAAGGGTGGGGGCTAGGGAGGAGCTGGTTAGGAAATTGGGGGGCCGGGGGTAGGCCCCAGGCCTCTTTACCCAGGGCAAGAAGGTGGCCCAGTGGCTTCAAGGAGCAGATGAAGGTCTGGTGTCCTAAAGTCATACTCGAAATGCCTGGAGCTAGATAATATAAAACTGACAGCAAGAGGCTGGGAAGATGAGTCCGTGGGTAAAGTTTATGCCATGCAAGCAGGGAGAGATCTGAATTCCAACCTCCAGAACCCATGCAGAGCTGGTGCGGTAGCATGTGCTTGTAATCTCAATGCTTCTAGAATGAGAAATGGGAGGCAGGGGCAGGTTCCCAGAAGCTTGTTGGCTGGCCGGTTCCCCAGCATACACAGTGGCAAACAGCAAAGAGACTCTTCGAGAAGGTAAGGCAAGGATTGGTGCCCCAGATTGTCCTCTGATACTCACACATGTACTGGGGCATTCGAGTTCTCATACACGTAGGAATATAGCGCGCGCGCGCGCACACATACATACACACACACACACACACACACACACACACACACACACACGATAAAGGCTCAGTGACTATTTGTGCCTTCAGCCTTGGAGGCTGAGATGAGATGGATAGATACCACTCGTTTTTAGACATCCATTGGTATCACTCCCTGAGCAGAGTCAGGCAGGTGTCTGACCCAAAGTAAACACTCGTGGGCCCAAAGCAAAAACAGTTTCTAAGTGTTTGTTATATTTGCAACTTTATACGCATTAAAATACTTTTAAAATGCCTGAGTAACCTTTTATTTGTACAACTTTTATTATTATTATTATTGTACTGATTTGTTATCTGCTATACTAATGAGTTCATTCTTTTGTTTGTTTTATTTTTCGAGACAGGGTTTCTCTCTGTAGCTCTGACTGTCCTGGAACTCACTCTGTAGACCAGGCTGGCCTCGATCTCAGAGATCTGCCTGCCTCTGCCTCCTGAGTGCTGGGGTCAAAGGCGTGTGCCAGCACTGCCTGGTGTCATTTCTTGTTTGTAAAACATATTATTGCACTTTTGTTATTTTGTGTGTATGCGTGTGAGCTTGTGTGCGTGTTGTACGTGTGAGGGTCAGAAGACAACTTGGGGCTGTGGGTTCTCTCCTACCACCATGGGGGTCCTGGGATTGAACTCGGACCATCAGGCTTGGTGGTAGGTACCTTTCCCTGCTGATCCATCTGGCTGCTCCCCACTTCTTGGCCATTTCCCAAGCCTTTGGGGATGCTTCTCAGGTAAAACCTGGCACCCGTTTACAGTACGGGAGGCCTTCTAATACTCAGTGGTTAAGCTGAAACCTATTAACCTATAAACTCTCATGTTGGTGAGGAAAGGACTATCTAACCTTCCTACAGGGAAGGTGAGACTTACTGACATTAAGGTTGAGAAAGTGGGACCGTGATGCAGAGAAGAAACATACTTTTGTGATTCAGATGAGAGCTCCCAGATTGCTGAGAACCCTGAAGTTGACTTAAGTACTCCTTTTCCGTTCAGGTAGAGGAGGGGCTGATTTATGCCATACAGAGATAAAAATCTCATGGTCCTCCAGTAGTTGTAATCTCCCTCCCCCTTTCTGGCCTAGAACTCATTCTGTAGCCCAGGCAGGATTTGAACCTGTGATCCCCCCCTTGCTGCAGCCTCCTGAATAGCTGGGCCTATAAGCCTTCATCATGAGGTTCTGCTAGCATACGGATATTTAAGTCACAACTTGTTGTTAGTTCTTAACAAGTAGAAGGCATGTAAAAAGAATTTGAGAGTCATGTAAATGACATGAGAATTACAAAAGAGTTACAGTCATGTAAAAGAATTTGAGGTATTTACTCTTTGAAGGCTGAGCACTGGTTTAAAATTTTCACTAAAGATGTAAATTTGGAAATTAAGTATTCTTACAGATTAATGAGGAATCTTGGAAAGTTAATCATGGCCAGAGATTATAGCTATCTTGTATATTCGGTTATGTATTTCTTATGCCTTCCCTGTTCTATTGGCCGTTGTGTGGGATCAGGTGCATATTACTGAGAAAGGAGACTCCTTCCTGTGGTTAAAGAGTAGATGTTAGAACTCAGGTCCTTTCTCATAGGCCACATTGTTCTTAATCCAGTTTAGAGGCTATGACAGGGCAGAGCCTCTAGGTGAGAGCTGTTTGCATTAGGGAGGAGGTTCTCAGGCCCCTGAGGCCATGTTCTACTGACTGACTTTGGAAGCTGAGATCTCACTTTTATTTAGGGGAAATAAATGACCTCTCATTAGACTATAAGGAGAGAAGCAGGTGATTTAACTCTTATCTCAGTAATGAGATTATCTGCCACTCAGACAGTGGAAATGAGGTCTCCTCAATTCCTGGTAAAAAAAGGTGAGATGTCCTGACCTGGGACATCTGACCTGGAGGGAGAGTAGGCACTCATGGCTCTTAAACATCAGAGCTGGGATGGAGAGATGGCTCAGTGATTAAGTGTGCTTGTTGCTCTTCCAAAGGACCTGAGTTGGAGTCCCAGTTCCCATGTTGGCAGTTCATAACTGCCTGTAACTCCAGTTCTGGTGGATCCAGTGCCCTCTTCTGGCCTCACAGTACCTGTACACACAGCATATAGTCATATAGACAGATAAGCACTCTTCTGGCTTCAGGGTGCCCATACACACACAGCATATAGTCACATAGACAGATAAGCCCTCTTCTGGCCTCATGGTGCCCATACACACACAGCATATAGTCACATAGACAGATACACATAAGTAAAAATAAAAAATTTTAAACAAAAAGAATAATTTTTAAAAAAGCATCAAGGCTAATAAGTTGAGACTTTAGAACACAGCCCTAAAGGAGGGGTGGGGGTGGGGATACTCTGATTATTTAGCAAAGGAGATGAGAATACTTGGTGTTGAGGTAGGAAAGATAATACTTTGTTGTATTCTAGTAGAGGAGATATGTTTCTAGCTCAAGAGGTGAGACCTTCTGGTTACTCACAGAGAAAAGATGAACCTCCAGATCAGTGGTTTTCAACCTTCTTAATGCTGTGTGTGACCCTTTAATATAGTTCCTCACGTTGTGGTGACCCCTAACCACAAAATTACTTTGTTGCTACTTCATAACTATTATTTTGCTACTGGTAGGAATCGTAATGTAAATATCTGATATACAGGATATCTGATATGCGATCCTAAAGGGGTTGTGACTCACAGGTTGAGAACCACTGCTCCGGATGCATGCCCAAAGAGATGAGTCCTGATTGTCAGATAAAGACTGGATGCCCTGATACCCTGTGATCTGATACTCTGGTAGGGTACGTAAGACCTTCTTGCACTCAAATAGAAGATATGGAATTTTGTGACTTATAGGCAGTGGGGATAGGATCTTGAGATAGGCAGACATGAAGTTGAGATGAGAACTTTGGACAGAGTAGAGAAGACTTTGAGATATTCTTGGAGAGGAGGGGAAAGCATATGACATTTAGGTAGGAGATGAGCCTGAACTCGGGGAGAGGAGACTTGTTGGTAGGGGAAATGAATACTTCTGAAACTTCATTATGGAGTTGAGAACAGTTAAGGTACACTCTTCCAATATTCAGCTAGAGGATGTAAGATCTCTTGATTTTGGTAGAGAACATGTGACAAGGTGCCACTCATGGAAGAAATAAGACCTTGGGCCCTGATGTGGAAAAGAAGAGTTGTTTTCACATTGGGGAGAGGAAACCATAGCTTTCTGATGCTCGGGTAAGATATTCAAGGCTTTATGGCTAGCTTAGGGAGATGTGACGTCCTAAAAAGTTATATAAGAAAGTATGACATTTAGTTAGAGAAGAGACCTGGAGAAATCAAGATCATCCCATAGTCCAAGAACTGAACATACAGGAGGAGATAAAAATGTCTTGGTGAGCTGGGCGGTGGTGGCACATGCCTTTAGTCCCAGCACTTGGGAGGCAGAGGCAGGCGGATATTTATTTGTGAGTTCGAGGCCAGCCTGGGCTACAGAGTGAGTTCCAGGAAAGGCGCAAAGCTACACAGAGAAACCCTGTCTCAAAAAAAAAAAAATGTCTTGTTGGGTAGGAGAGGTGGCATCTTGTGACACCCCTTAGAGGAGATGTAACCTTTCTATCCTATGGCACGCTGGTGGGGACTTACACTCAGAGGAGACAAGGCCTTGTGACATCGTTGCAGGGACAGTGGAATATCATAGTATGTGTTGCTCATGTCATACTATCTTTTGACAATTAAAAAGAACACTCGATGATAGGCAGATAGCTGTGATGAAAATTCCTGCGGGGCAGGTATAGGCAATGATCACATGTGGCTGCACTTAGGTTCAAAAGAAGAGAGCTGGAGACCTCCGGGAAACGTTGTGATGCTCAGCAATGGACAGGAAGGTGGGCTTTGAAGTCATAAGTCAAGAAAATTCAAAATGGCTATTTGAAAGTGTTCTGATGACATATACTTCTCCCATCCCCACCACGTACCAAGGATCTCTCAGTCAGTGGAACCTGACTTCTTTTTAGCTGTGAACACACTGTACTACCTCATTACAGGAGGGCCAAGCTGCTCTTCAGTCCACGACTCTGTAGTGTAGTGGTTTCAGCCCCCAAAGAGCACATCCTGAACATTCATAAAGTGAGACTTCAGGAGACGTGGGATGAATGAAGGTCTTGGGACAGAGCAAGTGGGTTGTACAAGAGTCCCTCACCACCCCAAGGTCAGGAGAGTTTACGCAGGAAGTTGGGATGTCACCTCAGCACGAATCAGTTAATCAAGGAGGCCTGCCTGGTCTAACTGCTGAGGTGGGGGTGGGAGATCATCTTGCTGATTGGCCAGAAGGCTGTGGAGCTTTGTGAGGTCACAGCTTGCAGGCCAGGTTAGGGCAGGAGTATGGTAGAGATGCTGCCAACTGTCGTTGTGCTGGTCTTGGCAATGTCCGCGTTTGCCAGAAATAACTACACGTGTGAGTAAGTGTTGGGGGAAACTTGGTGGGGGTTAGGGCATCTTAGGAATAATAGGTCCCACCTAGACTCCCTTTGCCCAGTGCTGGGATCAGTAGTAAGCTGAGCCATAGCAGACTCTCAGTTCCTGTGACCCGCACCCCCAATTCAGACCCTTCCTGCTTCCAGAACCACGATCCCAGAATCATTAGGTTTCCAGCTGCCCATGGTTTCCCAGAGAAAGAGATCCCTTCTCCCTCTCTCTCTTCCTACTGCTTCTCCAGTAACTGGCTTCATTGCCTCTCAAGCAGTGGGTCCTAAACTTTAGGAGCCGCTGTTCTATGGACAACCGAGGTAAATCACCCATGCATGGCCCCAAAGGCATTGTATGCCGTTGCACCGCGGTCTACCTGAGGACTCACTCCTAGTGGACCACAATGCAAATAGCTCAAAAACTATCCGTAGCCTGTCCCCGGTGACGCAGTTCCCAGAGCTTCCCACTCAGGAGTCCCCCTGCGTCTAGAGTGACCCCAATGCTTGTGAGCCACTGTGTCAGCTTGCAGCTGCTTTCTCCAGACCTGGTGCTATAGCCCTAAGACCTCCTTAATCACGTGACACTTGCTTGAGTCTCCCATCCAAGATTGGTCCTGGAAAACAATTACACCCCTCTGCCTCCATAGCACTTTGAACTACCACTGTGTCCTGGGATCCCTCAATAGCTTTAGGGCCTGTATAGATATTTCCTGGAGACTGTGGCCTCCTACATACCCTCCCTTGATTACCCTTTTTCTCAGAAGTTCCTCCCCATCTTTCCCAACCCTATGTCCCTGCCTCCCCCCAGGTGAGGTACAAAGACTGGATGCCTCTTCTTGGTTTGAGCAGTGTCCTGGTCTCTCCTCAGTGGCCCCTGTGGGTTACGATTCAGGCAGAATCCACAAGCAGGTATCCGGATTGTTGGCGGGCAGAATGCGCAGCGTGGGGCCTGGCCCTGGATGGTCAGCCTACAGATCTTCATGCCCCATAACAGCCGCAGGTACCACGCCTGTGGAGGCAGCCTACTGAACTCCCACTGGGTGCTTACAGCTGCTCACTGCTTCGATAACAAAAAGTACGTGTGGGACACAAAAGAGGGAGGTCTGCAGAGTACTCTTAATGGAAAGGGACATTCCCCAGGGGCTATGCCCAGGACCTCTGTGGAGCTCTGGGGCCACATGGTAACCAGATTCTGACAGGGCTCTGAGGGGCATTCTCACCACAGGCTTTTGTCTAGCCAGCCTATAAATGAGAACGACTGGCTTACCTTTGTGCCCACAGAAAAGTCTATGACTGGAGACTGGTTTTTGGAGCACAGGAAATTGAATATGGAAGAAACAAGCCAGTGAAAGAGCCTCTGCAGGAGAGATACGTGCAGAAAATTGTCATCCATGAAAAATACAACATTGTGACAGAGGGGAACGACATTGCTCTCTTGAAGATCACTCCTCCAGTTTCCTGTGGGGGCTACGTCGGGCCTGGCTGCCTACCTCATTTTAAGGCTGGTCCTCCCAAAATTCCCCAGACCTGCTACGTGACTGGGTGGGGATACATAAAAGACAAGGGTGAGTATAGGTGGGAGCCCCTTGGTGGGCACTGGTGCCCATTTTCCTTGCAGTCTTTTCATGGCAGGGGTCATGTGTTGATGCATGGCTGAGCTGTTTCAGTTCTCATGGAATCATGAATAGAGCCTCCCATAGGCCCTTTCATAACCAGAGAGTTCAGTGTGAGAGAAGCTGAGTCCGGATTGTCTGAGGGCATGACTGGCAATAGCCTACCTATGGAAAGGCTGAATGGCAGGTACAAGTAGAACCTTGACATACTTTAGAATGTAACAAAGCTGTGTGAGTCTATCAACTGGAGGCCCAATTGCTAGACTTTGGGCATTGGAAACTTAAACTGAAGCAGTATTTGCAAAAGACCTCTGGATATGGCTTTGTTACCATGGTGTTTTCCTCACTATTGCATGGAAGGACTGGCCTCCGGGGTTGAGCATCTCTAACTTCTGTGGTCTCAGGGATGTCTTAATTCACCAACAGCAGCAGGTCCCTGGGCATATTTTCTTCCCTGGATAGTCATAGCACCAAGATTCACCATATCCTTCCAAGTTACTTGCTGTTCGCTATGTAGACTGGGAAGGATGTAGGTGGTGGGTATAATTTTCTTTGGGTCGTTAGTTCAAGGCCCTTAGGATTGTCTAGCAGATTTTTTTTTTGCCATTCAAGATGAATATAAGTGCCTTTCTAGCCCTCTGTCCTTATTCAAAGTGTCTGCGCTTTCCCTGGCTCAGACCTTTTCATGCACCAATGTTACCTGGCCCACATGGCACAGAGTGAGTAGAGAGATGTCTTCTGTAGTAGACAAGCTGACAGGGGTACAGGAAATGTTCTAGAGTCATTAATGACTCCAGAGTCATAGCCTGACTCCCAGACAACCTCCCCATACCCTTAAAGTCAAGGGCCACTGTTGGTACCAGAAGTAACATGTCATATCCTTAAGTCACATCAAGAGGCAGCAGGGTACTGTCAGTGGGACAAGACTAAATAGAACTTGTTCCCTGCTCATGGACAGTCCTTTCATCTTCTCATTAAGTGGTTGTACAGCTTTTTATTGTCACATTAGGGATGTGGAAATGTGACTGAAATTAGCCGAGTCAGTTTCTTCTTTGATGTTGGAAAGGCTAGGCTGTCTAGTTCGAGGCAATTTAGTCATTTGGGGTGCACAACTCAGCCTTTTTTTTTTTTCAAATTTGGAATTCCTGCTCCCCTCACTCTTCCTCTTTTCCTAGAGGTGATCTAATTCTTTAAAGCAGCAATTCTCAACCCATGGATCGCGACCCCACCAATAAACCTCTATCTCTGAAAATATTACATTCTGAAAATATTTACATTACTGTTACATTTATAACAGTAGCAAAATGACAGTTATGACGTAGCAATGAAATAATTGTATGGTCGAGGTCACCACAACACGGGGAACTGTGTTAAAGGGTCGCAGCATTAGGAAGGCTGAGAACTACTGCTTTAGAGGTTTACTACCTGTCCTGTTCTTCAGGGAAGGGGGTCTCACCCTAGCTACTTTAGTTTTTACTGGCCTTTGCTGGCATGTGACTGTAGCTATTTGAGCTGGGGATGGGTACCTCATCCCATCCGCTGGTGCCTGTGGTGTCCTAAGCATGAGGACACACATTATTCAGCTCTGTCTTGCCTTCCCTCTGATTGTATACACAGTTTGTGTTCTTGTGGTCCTTGGGTAGCTGGTCTCTGGTTCTTCGAATCCTCTTAAATTAGTGAGGGTATCTCTCACTTTTGTCTTGCTAACACATACCTCCTATAAAGGCCTCAGTCTTTAAAAGTCCCCAGGCCCCAAACTCCCATAGCTTGTTTATGTATGCTTGGTTCTGCCTCTGATTTGGGGCTGGGAGAGGTACCTAGATATGGTTCCTTTCCCCAGGTTTCTGAGTTCTGATAGCCCTCATATTTAAATTGTCTGGTATTGAGAACATTCTGTTTCAGAACACCTGGCTTTTCACAGTGAGGTCCATGACTTTTAAGACTATGACCTCAGCTATAGACCTAAAAAGTTATCTTAATGACTAGCGAGTTAGTGTCATTCCCACCTCAGGAAACAATGCTTGTACAAACCTCTCACTGATGCTTGGATATGAGGAAAAGTGGAAGTTCTATTGAAAACAGAAAATAAAATAAAACATCCCCAGCTCCCCACCAAAAAAATCCTTTAAATATCCAAAGCTCAGGAAACATGTATTAGGCAGATCCCTAGAGCCTGCCTGCTGAATGTTTAGTCCTTCATGTGTGGACTCCATGCATGTACAGACTGCATGCATTTCCTGTCTTACCACCGGCACTTGCATGGTTGTGTTTTGTGTGTGCCTTGTGTCAGGGTGTACCACATCTGTGCTGCACATAACATCCAAACCCACACTGCTATGGGAGGGGGCTATCAGAGGTGCTGCTGGCTGCATGTGATGACGGGGCACAGCTGTGCTGGTTCTGAGGAGGTGTCTAAGTCAGTTGCATGTTGGTTGCATGAGCTGAAGTGTAACTGTGTCTTTCCTAAACCCCACGATAGAGTCTGTGGTAGCGAATGAGGCCCTGACTCAGCTCTCCTCTTCTAAAAATCTCCTCAAGGCAGATCTGAGACACATGGGAGGATCCCGTCTGAAGCTGGGTGGAGGAGTCCTAATGGAGGATTAAAAACAGGGAGGGGTGACTTCTAGACACACAGTGGAGAAAGAAAGGTGTGTCTCAGTCATGGCGTGGAGAGGGGCAATCCTGGCCAAACTCTTGCTGTAGGTGGGTGGTGCTCCAGTCCCTCATCCACAGTGGGAGCAGTAAGACTTGGCATATACTAGGTGTGCTTGTTAGAGCTACAACTAACCTCCACAACCCCTCATCTCTCATTAATATAGACATCATCTATCCTTCCTTTCTTCCTCCAGGCAAAATCCTTTTACTTCTGCCCCCATTTGCCCTTTCACTGTGCATTTCCTCCCCTCGAGTGTGAGGTGAGCCTGAGGGATCTTTGTTTAACCACAGCATTCTGTAGGATGGATGGAAGTTCAGGGCGGGAGGAGGCAGGGCTTCCTTCCTATCCCTGGTGAGCACTGACCACTGTGTGGCCTGGCTGCAGCCCCCAGGCCATCACCTATCCTGATGGAGGCACGTGTGGATCTCATTGACCTCGACCTGTGTAACTCAACCCAGTGGTACAATGGGCGTGTCACAACAACTAATGTGTGTGCAGGGTATCCTGAAGGCAAGATTGACACGTGTCAGGTAACTTTCTTCTGGTGCCCAGACCCCTGGGTTCCTCTAGGGATCCTAGCCCCCCTGCCCCCGAGAAAACCTCATTTTAGGTCCCTGATCTCCATCCTCTCCTCCCCTTACCCAAGGGCCCACTTGAGTGACTCCTCCCCTGATACCTTCTTCTTAACATTGACCATCACAGCTAAGATGGGGATGATATCTACCATCTGTCCCTACTGAGAACCAGTGATCACACTTTAGCATCTGATCCCAGCATAAGCACTCAGAATGCATTGCCCAAGCCCAGTCCTGGAAGATAATGTTTTCCTCTTCCCCAGAACACAAAGTACCCAAGGCCACAGTGTTCATGAATGCAGAAAGCCACATGCATGTACATGTGAGCTCCTCTTATCGAAAGGCATCTCAGGCCTTGCCCTTCACATTCCACTGGATATTGGTAGTTCTAACTTTACCAGTTGCATCTAAGGCAGCAGGAAAATTATGTGGCTACAGACATTGTTCTCCCACAGCCCCATGACCCTTCTGGGAAGGGGGAGTGGCTCAGGCTGAAAGTGACCCCTCTGTCCTTCTGGACAGGGGGACAGTGGTGGGCCTCTCATGTGCAGAGACAACGTCAACAGCCCCTTTGTGGTCGTGGGGATCACGAGCTGGGGGGTAGGCTGTGCCCGTGCTAAGCGTCCTGGAGTCTACACAGCCACCTGGGACTACCTGGATTGGATTGCTTCCAAGATCGGCCCTACCGCCCTGCACTTGATTCAGCCAGCCACCCCTCACCAGCCTACTACTCACCCACCGGTCACTTTCCATTCTTCTTCTTTCCGCCCTCCTTGGTATTACGAGCATATGCCACCTCGGCCACGACCACCCCGGCCTCTGCTACATCGACCATCTTTAGGCCAAGGCCACTCATCACTCAAACCCCTACCTCCACCCCCAACCCCAGCCCATCCCGTATCCTATACTTACGGTACACATGACACGAAATACTACACGACACTTTCCTTTGCCCAACGTGTCCAGCAACTCATAGATATCCTGAAGTTTAGGACTTACCCTGTGCATGACTCCTCACGTTACAGCGGATCCATGAACTACCACCGATACACCACTTTTGATCCTTTTTCCAACAAACCCCATGGGCGCCTCCATTCCTGAGAAAAGAGAAATGAAATAAAGCATATATTTGTATATAAATATAGAAGCCTTCTGGACTTCTTGCCTTCCCCAACTCAACCCAAATCCCCCTCCATCAAATTTATCCCCTCCCTCCTTCACCCTCCAATAAAATGGAATTGCTTATATATTCATATTGGTTCTTTTTGACATTGAATTTGAACACTTGAATAAGGCAAACTAGGGCCATAGGCCAAAGCATGGTCCTTATTCCATACTTATTGATCCTGGCAGGCGTTATATGCCTCTGTTTATGGAATGGGAGGGTGGGATGAAAAACCTCTACCAGCTGAACTGACCAGAAAAGAAGGTACAGGCTCCCACTAGGAGGCCATGTTCTCTTAATGCTACCATGAGATTGGCCCACAGAGAGGCTTCTGTGTGAAAGGCCAGGCTCCTCAGAGCACAAGGGATGACCAGGCTGCCCAAACAAGTGTCTGCCACCAAATAGTCTTACTTGTGACTGTTCGAATGTCACCTGTTCAGGGTTATTACTGGCCTGTAGCTAAATCTATTAGTTTCTGGATTCAAGCACATAAAAACTTATTTGCTAAAGCTTTCCAGGAACAACAGTGGGGGAAGGGGTATCTTACGGATGCACCTGAGTTTGGAATGACTTTCTTACCATCATTAGATATATAAGAATATCCATGGTAAGGAACAGAAACCAGTTTGAACCTTTTTAATGATACAAAGATATGCAGGATCAACAGGAAAGGGCCAGAAGCATTCTCGAGGATGAGAGAGCCCAGCAAGGCACGGACAAGGTCTGAAGTTTCCTCAGAGCGGCTGCTGGATGCTCAGTCCAGGTGTCAGACTTGCCCCATACTGCCTGAGGCTGGGGCCGGTCTTCAGCCAGATCACATTTGTTTCCAAAGTCCTGGGAAGGATGTCCTGATGGGCTCTGTTCTGCGGTTTACTCGGGTCAAGAATCAAATCTGGTGTTTGGATGAACTCCTTGGGTTATTAAAGATGGCTGGGCAGAGAGAGGCAACACCCCTTGAAATCAGCATGTGCTTAAGGCTGTACTTTGCTTTTCAGCTGTGTTGTTTGGAATTAGTAGGAGTGTGAGGCCATGCTCTTACCCCTTTGTGTTAGGAATGAGAGTCCAGCTGGACCTCTGCTGGGTGTGCTTGCCCGCTTGATCTGGCCCAGCTGTGTACCCATATGCAGAAGTGAAACTTTTTGCCCCACTGACACACTTTGGATTGTATGATCACCTTCTTGGGACCCCCAGACCTATTTCTAAAAGCCTGGCACCCAATGTGAGAGGCTCTTTCTCTGTGACCAAAGGTCCTGGGAACTGATTGCCATCCTGGGAGGTGCATCCTGCTGCCTTGTTGCAGTGGCTCTGGATATGGATACACTCCCAAGCTCCTGAACTAATGGAAACCCAAATTGGAAAACAAATCGGCATTGTCGAGATAAGGGCCTCAAATGAGCATGGTGGCAACCTGGTAACTTCCGTGCCCAAACTAAGGTAAGAAAATTGGACTATAGAGTACTGTCATGTGGTTGGGGCATTTTTTTTTTCTTTTTTAGAGAGTGAGAATGTGGCTGAGATGTCAGTCACAGGCTCTTCAAAGTGGAAAACCAAAGGTCCAGGGGGAGCACAGGAAACCTCCAGTGTGTGCGCAGTTGTGTGTGTGTGTGTGTGTGAGTGTGTGTGTGTGTGTGTGTGTGTGTGTGTGTGTGTGTGTGTGTGTGTGTTTAAGTAACTCCAGGGAGGACTTGGGAAAGGGAGAAATGGTTGTCTGGTGTTCCCCGTTTAGTCCATTAGGGTGAATTTTGAGGTTCTGAGAAGACAGCTTCTGAACCAAGAGACGTAGAACAACAAAATTTGGATGTGTTAATCCTGCTTTGGTGGCTGGGACACCCTGGAGGTTGTGTGAGTGTGACTGAAATGTTAAACCCAGTGGGATGCAAGTGTGGACTCCCGATCTGCAGCTCCAGTTTCCTGTGAGGAAAAAAGCGGTTTGCATAGAGTTCATTCAGGTGATATGAGGGTGTCCATAAAAACTCCAGAAGTTAAACATGAACTCTGATGTTTTTCGAGGTCTTCACTATGGGAAAAGAGAGAGAGGCGGTTGAGCCTCTGATCAAGGCATCCCAGTCCAAGATAAGGGTGGGAAACCAGGCCCCCTTTCTGGGTAAGCAGAAGGATAAAAGATCTGAGACCAATAAGAATAAAATGTCATCTAAAGCACATGCTCCAGGATTAGAACAAAAGTGGAAAAGAGATAACAGGTTAAGACTGGGTGTCTTAGGGTTTCGACAGCTGTATAAAACACCATGACCAAAAGCAACTTGGGGAGGAAAGGGTTTATTTCAGCTTACAGCTCTCAGGTTTATACTTCATCATGAGGGAGGGCAGAGCAGGAACTCAAGCAGGGCAGGACTCTGGAAGTGGGAACTGAAGCAGAGTCCCGGAAGGAGTGTTGCTCCTCATGGCTTACTTGGTCTGCTTTCTTACACTACCCAGGACCACCAGTCCTGGGATGGCATCACTCACAGAGATCATAGGTCCTTCCACATCAGTCATTAAGACAATACCATATAGGCTTGCCTATAGAGCAATCTTATGCAGGCATTTTCTTAAGATTGCCTCTTCTCAGATATAGGTAGGTTTGTGTCAAGTTGACAAAAATTACCTAGCACACTAGGTAGGTGAACTTATAGAATATGTTAATGATAAAAGACCAAGAGTGTGGAGGAGATGCTTATGATCTTTGCTGGAGAAAGGAACCTGGGGCCCTCTTTTCTCTGAAACAACAGCAATAAAGTAAACAGAATAGAAAGCGCTCCTTGTAAGTGGGGTCCTCTTGATCACCTCTCTTTTCATCTGTGTTGGGAGCTCCAGTTCTGAATGGCCAGCTCCGGTACCAGGTGCTCTTTATCCCGCCATCTCTAAATTAAGAGTGAACCTCAAACAGTAACAGGCTACCCAAGTCTTTCCTTCTCAACAAAGGAATCTCTTCAACTGATGTTCTCATTCAGCAATATTCTCCTGGGTGGGAAAAGAAAAGTATTGTCAACATCCCCCTTCCCAGTTCAGAGGTCTTAAATTCATAAAGGGAACTAAGGCTTTTGATAGAACATCCATATGCGATGTCTGGTCAATTGGATCAATACCTTGGGCCCCAACTTTGTACCTGACCTGAGTTAATGTCAGTATTTAAAAAAAATTTATTTATTATATTTCATGTGCATTGGTGTTTTCCCTGCACTGGAGTTACAGACAGTTGTAAGCTGCCATGTAGGCAGGGAATTGAACCCTGGTCCTCTGGAAGAACAATCAGTGCTCTTAACCACTGAGCCATCTCTCCAGCCCCTAATGTCAGCATTGAGTATTGCCTTCTCTGGTCAACAGAGGGGATGGTAAGAAGGGCTGTCTGCACATACTTACATGTAGGCAAAACACAAAGACAAGATCCCTGTTCAAGTGGAGGTCACAATCTTTTGGGGGCTGGAGAAATGGCTCAGCAGCTAAAAGCATTTTGGTCTTGCAGATGACCTGGATTTGGTCCTCAGCACCCACATGGTGTCTCAATACCACCTGTGAATTTCAGTTCCAGGGGCTCTGACATCCTTTTCTGAATCTGAAGGTACAAAGCCCACATGGTACACATACATACATGCTGGCAAAATACTCATACACATAAATCTAACATCTCCCCCTAAAAAAAAAAAAAACCACAAAAATTAACGATAAAAAAGGAGTGCTGTGGCTGAGTAGGGTGTGATGAAAAGAGATTTAAAAAAGAAAAACTCAATCAACAACACACCTGGAATAATAACAGTGAGGTTCATCGAGGCCACATGAGGGATCTTTGAAACTTGGCCATAAGAGGGATTGGAAAACCAGTACTCCTAGACTACAGATAAAACCTTTAATATACAGTAAGGAAAAGAAGGGCCTACAGTGTTTCTAGAAAGGCTAAAAGATCAGATGAAGGAGTATTTGGGCTTAAATACCAAAGAGTGACTGGGACATGGGATGGTAAAGCTACACTTAGTAACGAACAGCTGGCCAAACACAGTAAAAAGTTACACAAGATTGAGGTTTGAAAGGACAGAAGATTCTAGAGGCAGATCAATGCTACACATGCAGGGAAACGTAGGAAGAAGAGACGGAAAAGAAAACATGAAGTAATATCGTGCATGACTTTTGCAGAGGATTAAAAGACTCTGCTAAATATCTTTTGTTGTCTCAAACTGCAGTTCCAGGGCTAACGTGGAGAGTTTGGGCTCTGAGTGTGCTTTCTTTTCTGCCTTGTTTTCAAGGAGTATGCCCTCACATCCAGATCATTTTGATAATGTGCCCATGGCTCTTGTTAAAATGTTTTTTTTTCTTTTTCTAACCACAGGGAGAAAAAAAAAAAAAAGACAGAAAAGTCCAAGGGGAGAAAAAGTTTGCTTGAGACTTGCAACAGGAAAAAAGCTTGGTGATTAAAAGTATGTGTATAGGTAATCTTAATTTGCTATAACGTGCCATGTATGCTATTTGGATTTGATTCTTATTTAGGGAAAGAAATAGTAAATGTGTACAAGGGAATTATTGAGAAGGATGTAAGTATGAGTTCATATTTTTTTGTAAAAAGTGTTTTAAAAAAAGAGGTACTTTAGATAAGGATCAATTTTATGTAATAAAACAAGATTTTTGTCCTTGGAATGAAAAATAGAAGATGAAGACTTAGTTACTGTTTTATTGCTATGAAGAGACACCATGACCAAGTCAATCTATAGAAGAAAGACTTTATTGGAGGTTTACAGTTTCAGAGAGTGAGTGTACTGGTTAGTTTTATGTCAACTTGACCCAAGCTAGAGTTATCTGAAAGGAGGGAAACCTCAATTGAGAAAATGCCTCCATAAGATCCAGCAGGTGGGCATTTTCTTAAATAGTTATTGATGGGGGAGAGCCTCGCCCATTGTGGGTGGGGCCATCCCTAGGCTGGTGGCCCTGGGTTTTATAAGAAAGCAGGCTGAGCAAGTCATAAGGAGCAAGCCAGTAAGCAGCACCCTTCCATGGTTTCCGAATCAGCTCCTGCCTCCAGGTTCCTGCCCTTCTTGACTTCCTTTCCTTCACTGATGAACAGTGATGTGGAAGCATAAGCCAAATAAACCCTTTCCTCTCCAAGTTCCTTTGGTCATGGTTTCATCACAGCCACAGTGACTAAGACAGTGAGTTCAGGACCGTCATAGTAGGGAGCATGGCAGCAGGCAGGCAGGCATGGCGGGCCCGTAACTGAGAGCTTATATCCCTTTTTGTCAAGCAGGAGGCAGACAGAGAGAGGGGTAACTGGGCTTTTGAAATATCAAAACCTGCTTCTGGTGACCCATCTCCTCTAATGAGGCCACACCTAACCCTTTCCAAATAGTTCTACCAACTACCAAGCTTTCAAATACATGAGCCTGTGGAGGCCATTCTCATTCAAAGCACAGAGAGTACAAAACCATTGAAGTTTAAAGCCAAGTCATGGAAGGTCTGAATAAATTATATAAGGTCTGTGGAGAATGGGACTTCAGGGTGATATATATTTGATGATAATAGTTGACTAAAATTCCTCAGATTATACTGATCTACTTGTGATAAAATTTGCAATTTTTGTTTAAGTTTTGAGACAAGGGCTCACAGTATAGCCATGGCTATTCTGGAACTCACTATATGAACCAGCCTGGCCTTGATCATTCACAGTGATCTGCTTGTGTCTGACTCTTGAGTACTAGGATTAAAGGTGTGTGCCTCCACACCTGGCTCCATGGTATTCTCAATAGATAAAAATTGAAAATATTTATCAGTGAATGAACAATTAAATTGTCTAATATATACATTTTGGAACATGATTCAGCCATAAAAGAAACAAAGTACATGATGCATAGATGAATCTCTCTCTCTCTGTATCTATCTATCTATCTATCTATCTATCTATCTATCTATCTATCTATCTATCTATATCTGAGGCACGGTCTCTCTCTATAGTCCTGGGACTCACCATGTAGTGAGTCCTCTGCCTCCCAAGTGCTGGGATTAAAGGCACACCACTACACTCTGCTCTGGATGAAAGTGGAAGAAGTTAGATACAAAACGTCACATAGTGTATGTTTTTACTTATATGAAATATTCAGAATTAACAAATCCACAGAGACAGAACACAGGTTTCTCATTGGTAAGGATTTCACTCTGGAGTGATGGAACCACACAGAATTGGCAGGTATACCACATGTGATTATGAAATGCACTGAATGGTTAGTCATGTGAATTTCATCTCAGACATTATGTCCCTATTTAGTCTCTTTAATTTGGTCCCTTCAAAAACCAGCTAAATCATAAAGCATGACAATGGACCCCCTAAAACTTACCAAGACGTAGTCTGATGACAGCTGGTGTGTAGTAGTTGGTACCTTATGAGCCTCCTGACCCCAACTCCAGTGCTAGTGGATAAAGGCACTTTCCCCAGAGAAGTGTCTGAGCTAAAGCAGGAGCCACTTGGCCCTGGAGGATACAAGCTGTCTCCTGGGCCTCATGCAATTGCTGACAGTCCTCTGGTCTTCAGGCAGGACCAAATCTGGGACAGTTTGTCCTTCAGAGTTGGGATTGGGGATGGTAGTAAAGTTGGCCTCTAGCCAAGATCAAACCCTCAGTCCTCCCCTCCCTCGTCGGAGAAAACAGCCCCAATAGGCCATCTAAAAACTGCCTCTCAGGCTCTGCTTTCAACTATGTGAAATCAATACTGGTACATTTTTTTTAGTACATGAAGTCTACCTCAACAAAGCTATTTACATAAAAAGAAATAGTTACTGGATTAGAATGGAGTTCAGTGGTAGAGCACTTAGCTAGCTCATGAGGTCCTGCGTTCAATGCCCAAAATAGCAACACACACATGTGCAACACACACATACACACCTACCCACCCACCCAGCTTATTAATCATTTACAGTAATTATTTTTTTTTCTTTTTAGGAAGAGTTTCACTCTATAGCTCTGGATAGCCTGGAATTCATTATGTAGACCAAGCTGGACTTGAACTCAGAGATCCACCTGCTTCTGCCTCCTGAGTGCTGGGATTAAAGGCATGTTCCACCATGCTCAGCAACAAGTTTTTATTTTTGTTCTAGAAATCTTACCTCATCTGAGTAATGCATTCCTGAAAATCCCTGATCAGAAGTCGAAGTTGAACATGTATCATTTTACTTAAAGGGGAAACACACTTGTGGCTGAGATCTTAAATCAATATTTACTTAAAGAACACACAAACAATAAATTCCACTGAAATGGTCTCCTGTAGTCAATCAAGACTTGGGCTACAGCATGGCAGCAGATCAAGGCAGTCTTCCTTCACCAGTATGGTTGATGTTTTTCTTTGTATATTTCAGACCACAAAGTACACAAAGATACTTAGTGTGGTGGTTTGAATGAGAATGACTCCCATTAGTTCATGTGTGAATGCTTGGTCCCCAGTTGGTGGAACTGTTAGGAAGGATTAGCAGGTGTGGCCTTGGAGGAGGTGTGGCCTTGGAGGAGGTGTGTCACTAGGGATGGGCCTCTGAGGCTTCAAAAGACCACTCACCATTTCCATTGGTTCTTTCTGCCTTGTACTTGTGGGTCAAATGTAAACTCTCAGCTACTGCCCCAGCTCCATGCCTTCCGTCTGCTGCCGTGCTCCCCAGCATGATGGCCCTGGACTCACCCTCTGAAACTCATCCTCATTAAACGCTTTCTTCTCTAAGTTGCCTTGATCATGGTGTTTTGTCACAGCAACAGAAAAGTAACTAAGACACTTAATGTTTATGAAATTTAATCTTTATTGTACAAAAGGAAACAATACAAACAAAATAATAAAGACAATGGAAATGATGCTGAAGACAATCGTAAGTGCAGGCTAGCAAGCTGCAGGAAGCAGGGCAGCTCTTCCCATGCCATTTCCTGCCACCCACAGAAGATGCTAGACAAGTGGAGGAACACTTTCTACCCTGAGATGGAGGCTTCAAAAGAAGCTGTTGTTCACGTGGTGGGCAATAGTAATGTGCGGATATGACCAGATATGGCTAGACTTGGCGTGTTTTCATGTGACTGCAACAGAGTCCTGTTCCTGTGTTCTCAACCTGACCTAGAACAGCTCCTGAAACAGCACTAAAAAAATCTGGAATCAACAGTCGTCTGTCCAAATATTGTTGAAAAAGTTGGTTGGGAGACTCAGAGGGCAAAGGGACAGAGGTCACAGATTCTGCAGGACACAGCGTAGTTAGGGGTCAGCAGTCCTGTCAGCAGCAAGGAGAATCCCTGAGGTCAGTTTGGGATGAAAGACAACATTACATGAAGAAAACATGAGCATGTTCACTGATTCTACACTGCCAGGCTGCTGGTGGGGTGGGGAGATTCGAAAGACATGGATCCCTCATCCTGCTGTAGGAAGTTGGTGGGATATCATGCCTATCTAGTGTGTTTGTGTTGACCTCATCATGGACCACAGAACAGTGGGTTTGCAGGAAGTTGAGCAGGGGTAGCCTGGAGAGGTTCTCCAGAGATGTTGGGCATTCCAAATGGCTCCCTGATACCCCTACTCAGCCACGTGTGGGTGTCCTCTTGATTAAGAAGGAGATGGGCTCTTGACCATGCCACTGTGCTCTCGGTCTGGTGTATCCTCCTCTTTCTGCTCCAACTTGAAGTTCTGTGAACAAGGTCATAGGTGAGGGCTGATCCTGCATTTGTCCAATTACAGTTCTAAGGCATTGAGTGGTAGCAAAGGCAGGCAAGACTCGTCTGCTGGATTATGCGTTTACATCTCTGAAGAAATCATCTACTTTTTCTATCGTACCTGAAACTGGGCCTGACTTACCTCAAGCTCCTGTAAAACCTCATCCATGAAGTCCTGGGAACTTTCCTTGTAAGCCACAGCTAATCGAATCGCATCATTGAAGAGCTGAAGGTGAGGCAGAAATGGCAGAAGTAGAGCAGTGGGCAGGGTCTTGGACCACCTTATAATCTTCACTGTGCCTTCTCATCACCCTGATCCCACAGTCAGTGGACTCTGGCTCACCAAATGTGGTCCTCTCTGCTGCATCCAGCCACCCACTGTCCTTGTTTTCCTCCTTTCCCTTCCCTCCTCCCTGGAACTCCAGGACCCATAAGCCACTTCGGCAGACCGCCTCTCGTTTGCCATTACCTTCACAACATTGGTACCATCGGCAGCTGAGACGAAATACAGGGGCAGGGAAAACTTCTTAGCGAAACTGAAGTTCTTTTGAGTCATCTGTATGTCTGCTGCAGAAAGAAGCAGGGCATTGGCCCGTCCACCCAGGGAAAGGGGAGAGTTTGGAAGGAGGGTCAGTGGAGGCTCTGTGCTAGGAAGCAGGGAAGGGGCAGTCAGTTGACAGAGATCTGTGTCTTGGGAGGGCAGGTTTTGCTGCTGGCATCCCCACTGGGAAGGGAGTATCTTGGGAATGAAAAATGACTGAAGGCTACCCATCCTTGGAAAGAAGGAAATGTGTGAGGCTGGGTCCCCAGGAATTACTGTCACCCAGGTGCAGGGGTGGCCCCACCATCAATTTTATTGGCCACCAGGATGCATGGGATCTCCGGCCTGAATTCCCGAAGTTCTGCATACCAGGTACCCAGGTTCTTATAGGTGATTTTCCTCTGGACATCAAATACCTACGGAGGGTAAAAGACAGTTTAGATGTGTCAAAGTACTTTATCAGTTCCAGACAACACGCACCCAAATAGGTGTATGTAAACTCAGACCAGCACCAGAAGAGGGCCATGAGAAACCAATGGGCACACACCACAGGTGAAGTCAGCCCCAGATAGAAAAGAGGTAAGCTCAAATACCAAATGCCAGAGCAGGACTGAAACTAAAATGGCTGATGCCCCCGCCCCCAACTCGGTGTGTGTGTGTGTGTGTGTGTGTGTGTGTGTGTGTGTGTGTGTGTGATTTCTGGGGTTACATTGCTCCATTTGCCTTATTTCACCATCTTTTATATTTAGTACCCTGGGTTATTAGAATTAAGAATTTTTAGGTTCTCAAGGGCTTTTGTGCTTAAGGGACTGTGGAAGAAGAGGTGATGAGTCCTTTCTGTGACCCCCTCACTGTCCTCATTCACTAGCTGACAAGCTCCTCCAGGTGGCCTTTATGTGCACACCACTATCAGTCTATGTACCACAAGTAGTCAAGAGTCCTGTGCATGTAGACAGGAAAGAGCAACTCTAAACCATCAGAGGAGGCTGATGGAGATGCTGGCAACTAAGAAGAGACTGATCACAAGCAACATTTTCATTGAATGAGTATAAACTGCAGAAGGAAGAGCAGTTGGGGGATGGTGAGAAGAATGGATCAGCCTCTCTGTATCCCCCTGTGCTACTCCTTATGGATGAGATGGTACCCATTCATAATGAGAGCAGTGGTATGTGTATCGTAGGAGGTAGGGCTAGATGGGTTAGGTGGTGTCAAATGCTATAAAATGCCAGGGCAAACTTAACGTTTTGTAGGCAGACTTACAGCAGTGGTGTCAACTTATCCAGCCCGTGTGTTCTTATCAGAGATGCAGCACCTGCTTCCTTCCTTTGTGATTAGAGCCAGAGTGACTTATAGAGCTGTCACCAACCCAATCAGCTCCTACCTGGTTCTCTTTTGGCACCCAACCTTGACTTCTAGCTGCCATTCCACACCAGCTCTTACTGACAAAGTGTTCTCACTTGGTGACAATCCCTAGGGTTCATAATTCAGACAACTAGACTATGGGACTGGGGTTCAGCTCCTTAGAACACACATTAAGTATGCACAAAGTCCGGGTTTATTCCCTAGTACCAAACCCAATCCAAGCCAAACTGAATCAAACCTTAAATAGTCTATTGACTCATGCCACAGATGCTTAGCATGGTATTCATGAGAATGTTTTCTCCATGGATTAAAAGAAAAACACATTTCTTCAAAGCATATAAGAGCGGTGGCCTAGAAAATGAGCCCGGGAGCTGGGAAGCAGGAACTCCCAGGAAACAGAGTTTCAATCTCACTTGAGCTCTGTGCACACCAACTTTTGGGGACTTTTGTGCTGTCTATTACCTGAAGCCATCCATTATTGGGGGAACCCATGGTAACTATCCTAGATAGTATAGTGAGTGCTTGGGAGGGAGGCGAGGGCTGGTCTGAGAGGGAAAGGTCTTTCAGAAGCAGTGGGTAATGGCTGAGGGTAGTCTTGAAGTTTCACTGTGGGTGTGCTCCATCAGTAACCAGCTACGGCTTTGTCTCAGCCATGTTTTCTTTGGACACTACAATGGCTACAGGAGCCCAGCTTCTTTGCCTTTCTTTTATCTGCCCCCATCTGAGGGCAGTTCCTCTGGCATATTCTTTTTTAGAAGCGCCTGGGTGGCTTTGAACCCTCTCCTATATATCTTTATTTGGTAGTGGGGCTCAGGACTGATGAGCCCCTTGTCTCCTTACCCCTTGGGCCCAAACTGCCTAGCACCATTTTTTTTTAACCACCCCGCTGGTTTCATACCATGATGCAGGCGTGAGCCTTGTGGTAGTAGGAGGCATGCATGCTCTGGAACCGCTCCTGGCCTGCCGTATCCCAGAAGTCTGCAACATGAACACAGTTCTGTCTGCCCAATGGGGATGGGGAGTTGGAGGGCAGAGAGACCCCCCACATGCCCCAAGCATTTCCATGCAGGTCTCTATGCAGAAACATGCATGTATTGTGAGGTGTGTATGCAGTGTTATGTGTAGGAAGACCCAGACCCAGAAGGAAGGAAGGACAGTGCAGATGAGAGTCCCAGAAGGGAGAACGTAGGTGCCCTTTGTCCCTACACTGAAGATATGGGGCCCCAAGACGGAAGTTTCCACAGATGGTGGACAGTCAGGATATGTGGCCTAGTGACCCCATGGGAAGGTCATGTCCTATATTTGAGAAGTGGTCAGGCCACAGATATATTTCTTGATACTGGCTGAATGATAATCCCGGCAATGGGGAAGTCTACTCCCTGTCAAAGGTATCTGCACTCCTTTTCCCTCTGGCAGAACAGTCTTCCAGTGTCTGCTTTTCTACATCCTGGCCTGCACACTAGTCCTGGCCTGGGTGTTAGGAGACTGTACGTCCTGTGTGCCTCCATAAATGCTCTGACTTCCCATTTTTCTTCTTCACTCTCCCATGAGCCTCCTTTCCTACCACCCTCACCCCCCACTCAGCGTGGCCTGGGGGCCCATGCTGCTCACCCACAAGGATGGTCTTGCCGTCTACTGTGGCCGTGTGTTTATACAGAGTCAGAGCATATGTGGACAGTTGCTGTGGCTGACTGGATGCAGGTTAAGGAGCAAAGGTGAATAAAAAGAGGCAAGGGAATGGGGAAAGGGGCGTCTGTGTGAGAGAATGGGCCCCCTCCTTACTTAGCTTTTCTTAATCTTTTGAGACAGGTCTCACTCTGTAGTCCTGGCTAGCCTGGAACTCACTATATAGACCAGGCTGGCCTCAAACTCACAGAGATCCACCTGCCTCTGCCTCTTGAATGCTGGGATTAAAGGCGTGTGCCACCATGCCTGGTGCTCTTTTTGTTGAGACAGTTTTTCCAATATAGCTCAGGGTGGCCTCAAATTTGTGGCTATCCCCCTGACTCTGTCTTCCCTATAAAGAAGTTAGATTTCAAGTTAAATGAATCCTACGACAGACAGATCCAGCTTCAGTGGCACAAGGTCTAAGACAGGGCCTGGAGAATGTCCTGGATACCTAAGTGTGAGGTAATATGGAGCAGGATTTTACAGAAAAGTTGTCTTAAGTGGTGTCATGATGCTGGAAGATGTAACTGTGGATACTTTGAGTCTTTCATGGACAGAGTTCTGATAGGCTAGAGCATCATGGTTGTCCCACAGTAAAAACCACCCACAGGCCAGGCAGTTGACAAAGTATTTACAAACTGAAGTTACTTGTGTGCGAAACACTGACAGAATACCTAGGGAACAGCATCTCTCAAGGTGAAATATGGTGGACAGTTTAATGGGCGAAGCTGAAGCAAGACGAGCGGTCCTTGGTATAGACTGAGTGACTGAGGTCTGAGTCTGTGGGGGCTCTGGGGGTAAGGTCAGGGGAGAGGGTTATAGGTCCTGCACTTCTTGCACGCAGCCCTCAGGGGTCCACTTAGGGAACTTTAAGAAGTCTCAGTTACAGCTCCTTACTCCAAATCTGTACAACGGGACAGTGCACAGGATGAGGGAAAAGCTGACACCCCACATTTTTAAAGCTTATTCCTACCAAAGACGTGTTAGGCTCTCAGGAAAGAGGTGAAATGATTTTCCCACAGTCAGAACTACTAAGAAGGAGGTAAGATTTGCATCCAGGCTTTTGATACAGACTAAGTACTGTCCACTACTCTTCCTGCCTCCCTGGTAGAAACCCCAATATAAGTAAACTCTGGACGTAACAGCCTGGATTATATGATGCAGTTTGGGTCAGCCAGTGAGGAACTGGTGTGAAGCAAGCCCACGAGTGTTTCCTGGGCTGCTGCTCTAAAGGGGCGGACTGGAGGTTATGATGCACGAGAGTGGGAAAAGCCACAGGAACGAAGGACATTTCAAGTCTTTAAGGATACAATCCATCCATGAGAAACCTCTCCATGAGTCTGTAAGGGAAATGTGTGAGGTCACAGGTCACGTAGCATCTCTATCTTCTTGTCCCTGCTTTATCACCCTTTGTCTGACAACTTCGAAGCTACCTGAGACTTTCTAGGTCTTGTGAACTTTCAGCCACAGTTTCTAGTCAAGCCTGCACCATGGGAATCACCATTACCAAGCCCACACAACCAAACTGCTGGTGTCACTCTAGGGGTCAATTTGCATGAGGCTCTCTGATCTATTATTTCCATCTCATACACTGTTATACATAGAATTATCCCTGTCTATGCAGGGGAAACTGAGGCCAAGAAGACTATTCTTCAATCAATAGTTATTTTCAAGACTCTGTCATTCCTTAAGGCTTTGCTCAGATGTCACCTGAGCAGGAAGGCGACTCTGTAATAGGAAAGACGTTCCACCCAGCTTGTACTCTTCCATCCCTCTCTGTCCTGTACAGAACCCCAACAGAAACACTAGTGGATGTCCTTTAACGCCTCTATCAACCAGAACAGAGTATGCAGCACAGCAGTGTGTGAATCCTTAGTCTACTGCTAGCTTCCAACGTCCCAGCAGGGCACTGGTGCCCAGCCTGTATCTGAACACTTGACGGTGAGCACAGCTAACACGCTTCACTTAGTATACATTTTGGAGCCACAGGATAGCCTTGAAACCTTTTCTTGCTCTCACAGCCACTGACTCCCAGTCAGACCATACAGTAAATCTAAACAAAGAAGAAAACAACAAACCTCCCACCTCCTGGAAAGATATTAAAATCATACACATATATGATTTATATAACAGCGTATATACGTTTTAAATAAAAACAAACAAATAGATTTTAACACTCTTATGATTGTTAATTTCAAAGGTCAACATGATGTAGTCTAGAACCACCTGGGAGAAGGGCCTTGGGGCCTAGAAATACTGAAAACTGGCGGAGAATTCTTGAGTCCCATTGAAACTGAAATGAGGTTTTCTTCCCTACCAGCTTCCTCTAGACAGATTCTACCATGGTCTCTCTAACATTCTGCTTGAGGTCTGAAAGGGGCTGGGAACTACTTGTCTTCAAAATGTCCTAAGGGTTGGGGATTTAGCTCAGTGGTAGAGCACTTGCCTAGCAAGCACAAGGCCCTGGGTTCGATCCTCAGCTCAAAAAAAAAAAAAAAAAAAAAAAAATGTCCTAGAGGCCAGAACTGTGTTAGTCTTCTGATGGTCTGTTAACAACTTAGTTTGTTTTTAAACTGCATTAAGTTAGGCTAAAGCTGACCGAGGAGGTGCTCCTTGGGCTTCTCTCCAGTTCCATTTCTCTAAAGGTCTATCAGTTATTAAGTCAACAATCTGGTCTCCCCTTGCCTGCCACGTTGGTTTCCTGTGGCAGTTCTTTTTTTTTGGGGGGGGGGTTTGAGACAGGGTTTCTCTGTGTAGCTTTGCACCTTTCCTTGAACTCACTTTGTAGCCCAGGCTGGCCTCGAACTCACAGAGATCTGCCTGTCTCTGCCTTCCAAGTGCTGGGATTAAAGGCGTGCGCCACCACCGCCGAGCTCCTGTAGCAGTTCTAAATTCAAGTGTGGACAAGGGTAATCTTCCATATCCTTACTTTAATTGTATGGGATGTTGTTGAGGTTAAAGCAATTGTAAAATATGACAGAGGAGTTTAATGTAAGGTGGAGAAATGAATGTGGATCCATGAAGCTGGCCTAAAACTAGCAAGGCCTCTAGGAACTCCTCACAGCTGAGTCTGAAGTACAATGTGAGGTGATCTGGGAACTGGTGGGGTGGAAGACTAAATCAGACATTTACGGAGGAACAACTCTATCCTCATTCCTTGAAGGCAGAAATGGGCATGCACCCTCACCTCCTCACCCCAAATGGGTGAGAGGTAGGATGCCCAATGGAGATAAGCCAAAAGGACTGCAGAACCTCTCTTCGGCTCTCCAGGTGGAGAGTTCTACACCTGCACAGGCAGGCACTGAAGAAGGAAGAATAATCCTTCAACACCATCACAGCCAATCATCGTTGCTATCTGTGCTTTCAACTCAGGGAGTCCCTCCAAGAAAGCATCTTTACCACTTTTATTCTACTGGTCACATTCCTCTCTCCATTCCCACTGTCCCACTCCAGCCATCCTTCGACCTCACACATGTAGTAACATTTCCACTTCCGCACTCTGTACTGTTCCAGCCATTCCCAGGGTGACCCACTCTACCACTTCCATCAGGTCTCAGAAAACTCCCTGATTTCTGTCCCTTCGACTCTTTCCCATTTCCTCATAAATATGGTTAAAGACATGAGGCTGTTCTTCAGCCACACACACTTGGGCTCCAGTCGAGGCTCCCCCTCACCAGCTCATAGAAACCACACTCTTCATCTCTGGAGGACTTTTCTAATCAATCCACTCTGGGATCGTTTTCTCTTCCCTAATCTCCCAACATACTTGGACTTGCCCACCGCGCTGTCTCCCAGACAGATGATCTTCACGTTGTCATGAGCATCATATTTTTCTTGGTCCAGCTCACAATGCTTGCTTCTGTCCCCTGCCATTAGCTCCTGGCCGTAGACAAGAGCCAGCCTTGGAGTCTTGTCACTGTCTGGAAAAGTCAACAAGAGGCCACCATTAGAGATGAGATCTCCCTTCAACTAAATCTATTCCCTTCAACTAAATCTACTTTCTTTTTTTTTCCTGAACAGCCAATGGCGCACGCCCAAAGACACCCACCCTGACAACCTGGCCACCATCTGCTGAGTCTTAGGGCTGGAGCTTTGCCTCTAGATTCTCCCGTCATTTCCTGTTGCAGGTGTGCTCGGGCCACACCTCCCCTCCTACCTTCCATACTAGATATACAAGTTCCACATACAAGTTTTCTTACTTGTAAAATGCAAAGCAACAAACTACAGCAAACAGTGCCTAAGTCACATGGTAAGGCTGATATCGGGTAAAATTGAGATGACACTAACCACACAATCTATGGTGCCTGGCCCACACTCTCGACCCACCTTCCCTTTCCACCTTGCTGACATCAGTAGCTCCCTCACACTCCCGTCACCTTGGTATTCCTCAAAACTTTTTTTGCAGGTGTTATTTTTAACCTCCAGGACGGTGGTTCTCAACCTTCCTAAGGCTGTGACCCTTTAATACAGTTCCTCATGATGTGGTGAACCCCAACCGTAACATTATTTTCATGGCTACTTCATAATTGTAATATTGCGACTGTTATGAATTGTAATGCAAATACCTCTGTTTTCCGATGTTCTGAGGAGACCCCTACGAACAGGTCGTTTGACCTCCGTAGGGGTCATGACCCCCAGGTTGAGAAATGCTGCTCTAGTAGTTTCAACCGTTTCTTAAATGTAGATGATACAAACCACACCCACACCAAGATTTTGTCCTTCACTGCCTGAACTCTGATCTTTAACTGCTCATTAGGTTTGTAAATAGGAGACTAGGGCATATAGGAATGTTACATGTTAAACATAAACAGTACTTTAGTTCTGTACAAACTCACACTCCTCATATTTCCGTAAGTACAAGACAGCACTACCACTCAACGTCAACACTGGTGTGCAACACCATCTCTAGCCTGGTCCACTCGCTTCACACCCAAATAAGACTCGGCAAACAAAACTGCACAACAGGAATGCACAACAATCCAGATTCTTCGCTAACTGGGCGTACTGCAATTACACCAAGGCACAGCGGCAGGAATTCGCACTCACTGATCATTAACTCGAGCAGACACTGAAGCGGGCTCAACTGGCTGCAGTGAGGGCTAGGACACAGGCGTGGGCACTAGCCTGGCATAAAACAACAACAACAACAGGGTCCCGCGTTGGCACGGCTGACTGTATTTCCTTCCGCACAGCCACGGCCTCAGCTCACGCAGGAGCATCGCGAGGACTCTGCCCCCTTCTACCTCCATCCTGCAAAGGGAGTGGTCCGTTCGAAAGCCAAACCCCATCTATCGATTCGCGAAGGAACCCCTCAGTGACTGTCACTGTCCTCACGGTCTAGGGGGGCAAACTGTCTTTCGTGTGACAAACGTTTTTAGGCGCCCACCAGGCCTAACCACCATCTCCCCTAAAGGACTCGCGAACTGCGGTCGGGCCTCGGCCCGGTCCCCGCCTTCCCTCCGCCCCACCTCTCAGGCGGGTTCTCCAGGCACTCTGTCCTCGCTTCGGCTTCGGGGGACCCGGGACACCGCCGATGCGCTCGCCCACCACAGCCCCTGGACCACAAAGGCAGCCGGCTTACCCGCTAACAGGCGACCGCACTCCGGTAGCGGCTTGGCCGCGTCTCTGCCGCTGCTACGCGACCGCACCAGGACCCCGAGCTGGGCTGTCCGGCAATGGCCCGAAGGACCCCATTGGGGCGCGGGCTGGCTAGCGCAGTGCCTGGCTGCCTGGCGCCTTCCAAGGATGCATGCACATCTGGTCCACTGGCCCGGAGCACCACAGAGTGGGTGCACTGGACGACTGGCCAGGGTTGGGAGTGGGAACCGCAGGTTAGAGAGGCATCTGACCAGCAACAGGTTGCTACAGGTTGTGATACCCTTGATAGGATACATCTAAGCAAGTTTCTCGACTTTCATCATCTGTGGTCTGTCACTGTATTCTATTTATGCGGTCATATGAATGTGTGGGTTGTGGGGAAAAATTTGGTAACTGTATAAAGTCTCTGAACGTGCAATTGAATGAAAGAAAGAAATAAAAAGGAAGGAGATGACTGCTCCTAAGTATGGTGGGGAAAGTTTATTGTTGATAAAAGGGAGAGCATAGCTAGAGGTAGGAGTGGACATGATCCTGGGTTGGTGCATGTGGTGAGAGGAGGGAGGTTTTGGGTTGACTTGAGTTTCATTAAAAAAAAAAAAGACTAAATTTTGGCTTGGGATTAGGACAAACATACTTCTGCCATTTTGTGCTATAGCAACATTCTTAGCATTGATCATAATATCTAAACTGTGAAATCAACTATGAAAAATGGAATATCCAAAGTTCAGCCAAGACTTAATATCTTATTAAATAAAACTAAAATTAAACAAGCACATCCAGATTTTGCTTTTTGTCTTAAATGTTAAAATTTATGTGTGTATCAGAGAATTGTTGTAAAATAAAGTTAAAACACAATTCTATATGATTTATTATCAGTAAATGTTTGAGTCATGTACCTATTTTATATACCTGTATACCTGAGTATACCTAAAAATTTCTGGGGTGAAAGAGGCCATGAGAAGAAACCATGTAAGAAGCTTTGGCCTAGACAGCCTTATGTGAACAGAAGTTAGGAGAGGAGCCCCACCCTGTTCTAGCAGTTCTGGGTTTATCTGGCAGGTATTTGGGAAAGCAGGCCTTAATGCTGTGGACTCCCCGAATCTGCTGCTACTGGGCCCTCCTAGGACAATGATAGGGTTGTGTGATCACAGTTTCTGAGAAGGTTGGAGGATTGGATGAGATACAACAGAGCATGACACATAGCATACATGGACAGTTTGGCTAAAAAGCCTTTGTAACCAAAGGCTCTCGGGGGATGGGGAGAATTGTTCCAAGTGAGTGGGAAGAAACACCTGGCCACCATAGCATCTCCATTTTAATCCTGAGATCAGGATGCTCCTTGAAGATGAAGGGAAGGAGCCTATGACCAGATCTGTATTTTGGGGTCCTGGGAGACAGACATGTTCTACTTCCCGAGGCTGGGGGTTGAAAGATATTTAAAGGTAAAATTCCAGGGAGGTGTGATGTCAAGGATGACTCTAGATGTCTGGTAAATATCATACTTGTTGTTTGGCTACTTGCCTCCTGTAATATTAGAGGTGGGGGGCACTAGGCAGGACTTGCGGGTTGTGGTCCTTCAAGTTGATGGATTGATACCCTCATTCGCTGGGGCTGTGTGACTTCTATGACCTCAAGGCCACTTTAAGTTACTTGGTTGTTGTCCTGCATTCTGTCTTTTGTTAGAGATTGCTTTTTCAACTGTGAGTTTAAAACAATTTTTTTTTGAGACTGTCTCACTCTATGGTCCAGGATGGCCTCAAATTTATGACAGTCTTCTACCTCAGCTAAGATTACAGGTGTGTATCACTCCTCCTGGCCCAACTCTGACCTTTTGATGGCTGTTAAGGAATTATATTTCCTTTGGGCTAGAGAGATGGATAAATTGTTGAGAGCACTGACTGCTGTTCTGGAGAACCTGAGCTCCATTTCCAGCACCCACATGGTGGCTCACAACCATCTGTAACTACAGTTCCAGGGGACCTGACACCTTTTTACTGTCTGTTGTGGGTACCAGGCATGCAAACAAAAACTGTCTACACAAAGGAATAAATAAATAAATGAATAAAAGAAACTATTTTCTTCCTGGCAAGGTCCACTTTTGCTATGGGAAGCCCACCAGCTTAAGCAGCCTTGCCCTAAGAGACATTTTCATACGTATGATGGTAGATTACGCTGTTCTTAATGACTGAATGGGGTGCACTGTTGTGTGTTTGAGGTAGTAAGACTTCCGCTTCCTGCTGGGACAGAAATGCCTTCTACACAGTGCTGCTGGACCACCTTTGTGCTCCGTGCCAAAGCTTTGACACTTTTTCTTTCTCCACGAAAGCTCTCTTGTTTGTTTGTGCCAGGGGGAATATGTTGCTCAGAATCTGCTGATGAAGATCAGGCTATATTAATCTGGCAACTACTTCCCCCTTAGCCACTCCCATTTTCTCAGGTTAGGGTTGCAAGGGTGCTGAGCTGGTGGTCTACTTTTACGATCAGGCTAGCAGCTAGTTGTGTTCATTGTTAGTGCCAATTTTATTAAATAAATGGAGCCACAACCCATGTTCACATTAAGAATTCTGACAGAGCCGGGCAGTGGTGGCACACGCCTTTAATTCCAGCACTTGGGAGGCAGAGCCAGGCAGATCTTTGTGAGTTCGAGGCCAGCCTGGTCTACAGAGCGAGATCCAGGACAGGCACCAAAACTACACAGAGAAACCCTGTCTCGAAAAATAAAAAATAAAAATAAAAATAAAATAAATAAAATAAAAAAGAATTCTGACAGAAGGCGGTAGCAGTGTTAGTTCTTGATTCCTACTCATGCTGAGTGTTAGCATGCTTGTGAAATACATGAGCTCATTCTTAAGGCTTTTAATGCCCCATTTTAGAAAACCCACATTCAGTTGCTCATTCCATTTCTTCAGTAGGCTGTCATAAAAAAACAATGTATGTGGTAGAATATTATTTTAAAGTGTGTTATATTTGTTTATGCTGTGGGACATTTATTTAATGATGCAAAGATGTGTTGCATTCTTTTATGTAGCATTTGTTTAACTCTGTGAAGCTGTGTTGCTGTGCCTGTCTAAAATACCTGCTTGGTCTAATAAAGAGCTGAATGGCCAATAGCAAGGCAGGAGAAAGGATAGGCGTGGCTGGCAGAGAGAATAGGAGAAACCTGGGAGGAAAAGAAGAAAGAGAAGAGAACAACGAGAGGAAGATGTTAGAGGCCAGCCACCCAGCCACCCAGCCAGCCATGGAGTAAGAGTGAAAGTAAGATATACAGAAGTAAGAAAAGGAAACAACGCCCAGAGGCAAAAGGTAGATGGGATAATTTAAAGCTAACAAAAGCTGGCAAGAAACAAGCCAAGCTAATGCCTGGCATTTATAATTAAGAATAAGCCTCCATGTGCGATTTATTTGGGAGCTGGGTGGTGACCCCCCCCAAGAGCAAAAACAGCCAACAACATTTTGGTGCTCAACATGGGGCAGAAAAACAGCAGCATCCTTATGAGCTTTATTGGTCATTCTGGACCACACAATGTGTCCATAGTCTGAAGAAATGATGGGTTTTTACCCAAATCTGTACAGTTGCCCTATTTCTGTTTTTTTTAACTCCTTCTCATATATTTTTGTGTGTATATGTATGTTTGGGTATGAGTGCATGTGTGTGGAGACCAGAGGTCAACACTGAGTATCTTTCCATTCACTCTCCAGCTTGTTTTTTGACATAAGGTCTCTTTTATCTGAAGCTTACCCATTGGTTAGATTGGCTAGAAGTGAACCATAGGGATCCTTCTGTCTCCACAGTCCCAGTACTTCCTGTCTCCACAGTCCCAGTGCCTCCTGTCTCCACAGTCCCAGTACTTCCTGTCTCTGTCTTTCCTTCTGCTTGGTTGAGGAATGAGGCTGCTGCTTCTTCTCTGAGAGCAACCCTGCTTTTCTGACTTATTTAATTGGGCCCCCGGGTCTATGCTCTTACTGTAATGTATAAAATGGTGAACGTGTCTCTCGCCTTCTTGCTCTCCTGTGTCTCCCCTCTCCCTCCTGTCTCTACCCCCTCCTCCTTTCTGCCCTCACTATATTCTCTTTTTTATCTCCATTCTCCCCTCTCCCTCCTCTCCCGCTCTCTCTCCTCTCTGCCTTGCTCTCTTCTCTCTCACTCTCCTCCCTCTGATCTCTCTCTTCTCTTTGTTCTCTCTTCCTTTTTTCATCACTTTCTGTCCCTCTTCCCTCGTTTGATTTCACCTCTCTTCTGTCTCTCTCTCCTCACATTCTTTCTCCTCTCTCGTCATTCTCACTCCTCTTTCTCTGATCTCATCCCTCTTCTCTCTGTTTGCTCTCATCCTTTCCCTTTTCTATCTACCCTCCCTGTTTCCTCTTCTTTTTCTCCACACATTCACTTCCTCCTGTCTCCCCTCTCTCCTCACTCTGTTCTCTCTTTCCTCTCTCCCTCTTCTGACTCATTGTTCATTCTCTCCTCTCCCCTGACCTCACTTCTCCCTCCTCTCATTCGTTTGCTCTTCTCTCTCTCTCTTCTCCATTCTTTCTCTTGTCACTCTCTTCTCTTTCCTTCTAGTGTCTCTCATCTCTCCTCTCTCTCTCCTCTCCCTCCTCCTACCTCTCTTTTCTCCATCTTTCTCTCTCTCTCTGTGTCTCTCTCCTCTCTGCAACTCCTGTATCTCTGATCTCCATCCCTCTTCTCATATATAATCTTGCTGTTCTCTCTCTCTCTCTCTCTCTCTCTCTCTCTCTCTCTCTCTCTCTCTCTCTCTCATTCTCTCCTCTTGCGCTCTCTCCTTCTCCCAGTCAAGCAGCACACATGAAAATACAGGCAAAGGACTGTGCATGGATTCAGTATTACAGGAGTGATCACGTATGTTCTCATAAAGCAGTGCACCTGTGCCCCAGGTCACACCTAGTCAGGAGAAGTGCAGACAGCTGTGCTCTTGAGGGCTGCTAATCTGGAACAGCAAAAGCACGTGTTCAGGAGTGTGGCTAATCAGGGAAACTGCAGACACCTGCGCTCAGGGCTGTAGGTGATCAGGAAATTGAAAACACCTGTGCCAGGGCTTCAACTAATTAGGAAAAACAAGGACACCTGTATTCAGGCTGGCAGATAATCAGGAAATCATAAACACCAGGGGGAGCACAGCCAATCAGAAAGAGGGCAGACAGCTGTGCCTAGGGTCGCATCTAACCAGTAAGAGTGCAGACACAGGGTATCCAGGTGAATATCTAATTGGGAAAGGAGAAAAAAAAATCCCTTTTGCTCCTGCCAGTGTTTAACTATCTGTGTGGTGATTGGTGCACATTGAACCCAAAAGAGTCTGTCAGGCTTCAAAGTCAGGCAGCTGAAACTGGAGGTCAAATACCGAGTGTGGACACAGATTTATACACACATTCAAGTGCTGGTGTGGAGTCCAAAATGACTTGTTTTCGCCCATCACCGGTAATCTGTGGTGGGCTAGTGTAGGCTGGATGAGTCAGTATCAGCAGTATTGAATTGCGTTCAGGAGTCAAATGCCAACCAACAAACCTTTCTACAATTTATTTGTGCGAAAGGAGAACCTAGGAACTTTGGAGGAAACAAACATCAAGGACGATACCTAGCAATCACCATTAAGCATCCTTTCATCCAGTTGTGGGGTGTGAGTGTATATGCTTGTGTGTGAACGTACAGAAGGCAGAGGCAGAGATCAGGGGCTCAAGTGTCCTCTACCACTCAGTACCTCGCTCATTGGAGACGAGGTTCTTGGTGAACCTGATTTCAGACCTTAACACAGGGCAGCTCGATGACCTGGCAGCGAGTTCAGGACCAAGGTGAACAGGTTCTGAATGTGAGGAGCTGTTCCCAGTCACCAAGAAACACTAGACACTTGAGGGCTTGGCTTCAGTTAGAGACTTGATTCTTAATGCTTGTTTAAGCTAATGAAGACAATTTGGAATTAAGTCATAATGTCCTAGCTTAAATGCCCATGAAGTCTGGTGTGTGAGGTGTGTGTGTGTGTGTGTGTGGTGTGTGTGTGTGTGTGTGTGTGTGTGTGTGTGTGTGTATGGTGTGTGTGTGTGGTGTGTGTGTGTATGCTGTGTATATGGTGTGTGTGTGTGTGTGTGTGTGTGTGTGTGTGTGTGTAAACCAGACTGTTTCTTCTTCCATTACTTCACCTTATGTGTGATGTTGGGGGAGGAGAGGCATACACAGGCCATGGACAGAACAGACTTTTGGAGACAGATTCTCATGGAGCTGGCCAACAAGACCCTGGGACCCACTTTCTTCATGGAGGGGTGCGGGTACTACCAAGTCTGTCTTTTTTACATGAGTTCTGAGGATCAAGCTTAGGTCCTCAAGCTGTGTGACAAGTACTTTATAGAGTCATTTTCCTAGCCCCATTTTTTAATTTATTGAGACAGTCCCATGTAGCCCAGGCTCACTATGTAATTGAGGATGACCTTGTGCTCCTCACCCTCCTCCTGCATCTGCTTCCAGCTAGGTACCACCTCCCCCACCCCACCCCATTCTGGGGTTTGAACCTAGGCCCTGTGCACTCTACTACCAAGCTATATTCTCAACTCTATAATGTGGTTTTTGATATCTAACAGATGACTCACAAAGTAACATCAATACACTTTATGTACTTCTGATGTCCTCCTCTGTCCACAGCACATGGAAATCTGTGCACACACACCATGCTATTAAGTCTTCTGAGTGAGACATACACTCATTGAGGTCATGTTCAGGGATCGACACCTGTACTTAACTGCGATGAGAAACAATGTCTTACAGATGGACATCGTCTAAGTTAGTGTTCTATGGCTGTGAAGAGACAAAATGATGACAGCAAGTCTTGCAAAGGAAAGCATTTAATTGGGGCTTGCTTATAGTTTCAGAGGTTTAGTCCATTATCAGTATGGTAGGTAGCATAGCAGCGTGCAGGCAGACATGGTGCTGGAAAAGGAGCTGAGAGTTCTACACCCGATCCAAAGGCAGCAGGAAGAGAAAGACTCTGGGACTGGCTTGGGCTTTTGAAACCCCAAAGCCCACCTCTAGTGATACGCTTCCTCCAATAAGGCCACACCTCCTCCCACAAAGCCACACCTCCTAATCCCTAACAAGTAGTGCCATTCCCTAATGATCAAACTTTTAAATATATGAGCCTATGGGGGCCATTCCTATTCTAACCACCACAGACATCAACAGGTCAATGCCTACCGGTGATTTGGATATCAAGAAACACCCTCACATCTCCAAAAACTAAAAGGTGGGCATTTATACTTATCTGACATAAAACAAGGTAGAGCCATGGCTCAGACGTTAAGAGCTCTTGCTTTTCTGGAGGACCTGGGTTCTAGCCTGTCACCCACATGATAGCTTACAATGGTCCGTAACTCCAGTTCCAGGGGATCCAGCACCCTCTTCTGGCCTCCGAGTACACCCGGCACACATGTGGTTCATAGACATACACACAGGCAAACACTCACGCATGTAAAATTAAACAGGCACACCACAGAATGAATTGTGGAATCGTATTACCCATTTGCCATCACAGCATTGCGTTAGGCAATTGCATTGTACCATTGTGTTAAAACAACACTCGAATGTGACATCACATGACTCATTGTTATGTCACAAAGGTAAAGTGAGATAATCCAAGGCTCCGTTGTACCATCATGTGATATTATGATACCACAGGGCTCTTGTGAGGTGATCTCACAGTGCCCCAATGGACACTAGAATGTCCACTGTGACAGTACAGTGCTCCACAATGTGCCACTGGGCATCACCGTATATGCATTGTACCGTCAAAATACCCTATTCCACTGAGTCAATACAATGACCCATCATGTCATCACCATGTGATGATGGCACAACAATGCTGAACTATGCCATCACAATATTAAATTATGACATCACAGTGTACCATTATACTACCAAGCTGACCTGGGATATCATAAATCATTATTCTGACACAAGCAAAATCCCATTGTAGCATTTGATGTTTCCTTATGACGTCACAATCTTCAAATACTATATCACAATGCTTCACTGTGACATCATAAAGTGAATTTTGGTTATTTAGTGCTGGGCATGGTGCTGCACATCTGTAATCCTCAGGAAGCTGTGGTAGGAGGACGGAGAGTTTTGGAGCCAGCCTGGGTTATATAGAAGAATCCTTTCAAAACAAAAAGAGAAAATGGACTGGAGATTATCTTGGAAGTGTGCTTGTCTGGCATGCTTGAATCCTTGGGGTTCATCCCCAGCACTGCAAAAACTGGTCACGGTGGTGCACAATGAAGGCAGGAGGATTTGAAGTTCAAGGTCATCTGTTGTGGAATACTAATTTAAGATGTGTTACATTCGATTATGCTGTGGAATATTTGTTTAGTGATGCAAAGACGTGTTACATTTGTTTGATTAAAATTAATCTGGGGTCAGGAGGCTGAGTCAGCAACTAGCTGACAGGAAATGGTAGGGAGAAGAACCATGTGTAGCTAGGGTTCTTAAGTGGGGATTGAACAGAAGGACACCCTGTATTTGGGGAGTGCGAATTAGGAGAGAAAGTTAGCTACTTGCTATTCATCCTCTCTGAGTGAGCAGAATTTCACCTCAACCTTTGAGTCCTAAGTTTTATAGAGGGATAGAGATCTAGATAAAGTTCCTGTTAGCACTGTGATAGAGCCAGTGCCTGAGGGAACAGAATTCCCGCCTGGCTAAGGCCAGTGTGGCCAAACCACAACTGGTACCTTCAGAGTTGCAATTGCCAATTAGGACAGCCGTTGCTTAAGAGGCAGCTACTGAATTTAATGAAAAACAACAGCCATCCTTAGCGATATAGTGAGTTGCTGCTGACATGGTATACATGAGACCTTACTAAAAAAAAAAAAAGAAAAAAAAAAGAAAATAGTATGAAGTACTTGAACCCCTGGGTTTCCACTTAAGCACTGATGCTCTTGCTATCGTGATAGGAAGCATGTGATAGAAATTTATAGTGTTTATAACAATTTAATGTTTGTGTTGGATACTATTGTGAGCTTAAGTTTATTAGCTGCTTATTTTCTCTCTGCCTTTCTGTCTCCCTCTCTCCCTTTCTTTCCATCCCCTGCCTTGCATGTGTGTGTGTGTGTGTGTGTGTGTGTGTGTGTGTGTGTGTGTGTGTGTGTGACAGAGAGAGAGAGAGAGAGAGAGAGAGAGAGATTGCCCCAAAGGGAGTGGCACTATTGGGAGGTGTGGCCTTGTTGGAGGAAGCATGTGACTGTGGAAGCGGGCTTTGAGGTCTCATATATGCTCAAGCCACGCCCAGTGTCGGAGACCATTTCCTGTTGCCTGCACAAGATGTAGAACTCTCAGCTACCTCTCCAGCACCACATCTGCTTGCATGCCACCATGTCGTACCATGATGACAATGGACTGAACTAATGAACTGTAAGTGAACTCAATTAAATGTTTCCCTTTCTAAGAGTTGCTGTGACCATGGTGTCTCTTTACAGCAAGAGAAACCCTAACTAAGACAGAGAGAGAATAACTTCTTTCAGGAACTAGATCTCTCTCTTTCCACCTTCTTTGCCATGTTTCCCTTGTTTCTGCTGTGTTGTGTACTCCAGGCTAGCGGGCTCATAAGCTCCTGCCTGATCCTCCTGTGTCTGTCTCCCATTTCGCTGTGCAAGTGCTGGCATTACAGATGTATACCACTGCACATGGCTTTCTCTGTGGGTTCCGGGGGGTTGAACTCAGCTCACAAGACTTGTAAGACAAGCACTTCTCTCTGATGAGCCATTTCTCCAGTGCACAATATTATTCTTTGAGACAGGCTTTCTTGCTGACCCTGAAGCTCAGCATTTTATGTGGGTGCTGCCAATCTCTGTTCATGCTTTCGAGGCAAGCACTTTACCCAATGAACCATCTCCCCAGGTCTTATATTAACTGATTTAATAGTAACAATTCTATAAGGCAGATGTTACTATTCTCATCCAAAATAGGAGGTAACTGAGGCCGGAGAGTGTGGATAACTTGTCTACAACATAGTGAATGGTTCCCCAGTGAAACTGACTCGAATCCCATTTTCCTTTCAACAGGACAAGCATGGCTGCTGTAATATTCTGAGCAACAGAAAGGAAAGACATAAAACCGTTGTGTGGACGAGATCTTCGACTCTCTGAAGAAGCAGAGACTGAAATGGGGGCACCATGGCAGTTACCACAAAAGAGGACAAGATTACCCATTTAGGTGCTGTGGTGACTAGTTTCATGTCAACTTGACATAAAGCTAAGTCATCTGAGAGGAGGGAACAAACGCCTTCATTAGAATGGGCTGTAGTCAAGGCTGTAGGGCATTTTCTTAATTGGCGATTGATGTGTATGGAAATGTAAGCAAAATTTACCCTTTCTTCCCCAAGTTTCCTTTGGCATGGTGTTTCTTTACAGCAATAGCTCCTTGAGGATGACAGGGTCTCAAGATAACAGCAGTGTACCACTAGGTGGCAATAGAGCCTAAGAGCTGTAGTTCACAGTCACCTGCCTTTACAGATTGACGCAAGTACAAAATAAATCAGGGGTTTATACTCCGATGTCACCTTCCCTCTCCCGGGCCTCCTGTATTCCAGCCTCAGACTTGCTGTGCAGCTGAGGATGACCTTGACCTTCTGGTCTTCCTGCTTCAATCTCCCCAGCGGGACTGCAGATGTGTGCCACTATTTTGGTTTTGCTGTGCTGACAGAAGAATGGGAAATCTGTGCCATCAGGGATGTTACAGCTCTGGCCAGATGGCACCAATTTTATAATCTCCATGGTCATAAATAAAGTTGTCAACTCTGGTGCCCAGAAAAAGAAACTCAAGACATTTGATACTTGCCAAACACAGTTTCTGTCCAAATGTGCTGCATTAACCCTACCTACTCTTCTCCAGCCATTTAATCCACAGTTTCTTTTGAGGTCTGGGAATCTAAATGGGTATGCATGCGGGGCAGAGTCAAGGTTGATGTGGGAAAGCAGAACCCAAGAGAAATTCTTATTCATCAGCCGGCAAGAGAGTATGGTAATGGGGCAGTGTTACAAGGTGATCATTGGCATTTTCTTTTTCCTTTTGAAAGAACATGATGTTTTCCTTCTGTTTCTGTTTTAATACTTCAGTAAATGGTAAATACTGTGGATGGGTTTCTCCTTATTTTTGAGAGAATATCTCTTGTAGTGCAGGCTAGCTTGAACTCCAGATCTTCCCACCTTCACCTCTTCAGTGCTGGTAATACAGGTGCGCACCACTATGCCTGTGATTGCTGAATTTTTGTTTTGAGACAATGTCTCTCTGTGTAACCCTGGATGGCTTAAAACATGCTACTGCAAGAAGTAAAAAATGGTGAGTGAGATGGTTTATCCAGCAAAATAAGCTTTATGAGCTTGTGCCAAAAGCCAATGACCAGAATTTGGTACCCAGAACCCACAATGGAAGGAGAGAAGTGATACTCAAAAGTAGTCCTCAGCCGGGCGGTGGTGGCGCATGCCTTTAATCCCAGCACTTGGAAGGCAGAGACAGGTGGATCTCTGTGAGTTCGAGGCCAGCCTGGGCTACCAAGTGAGTTCCAGGAAAGGCACAAAGCTACACAGAGAAACCCTGTCTCGAAAAACCAAAAAAAAAAAAAAAAAAAAAAAAGTAGTCCTCTAACTCTGCATCTCTACAGACACACACACACAAACATACTTTAATAAAATAAAATTATGTGTGTGAATGGAATTTTAAGGTATTTAAATTTTTGTATGTATTATATATACATACATAATTTATTTTTATGCATGCATTTATGAATATTTGGCCTTCATGTACGTAAGTGTACTATGAGTGTGCTGTGCCTGAGGAAGCCTCAGATCCCTTGGAACTGGAGTTACAGTCAATTGTAAGCTGCCATGTGAGTTCTGGGAATTGAACCCAGGTCATTTCTAAGAGCAGCAAGTGTTCCTAAACACCTAGCCAACTTTCTAGCCTTTAAATTGAAAATTTTTTAAGAAGTAAAAGAATGTAAACATTTTATAGCACAAAGTGATGGGTGCTGTGATGAAAAACAAAACAAGAATTAGTCATGAGCATTAGAGATTTCACTTTAATTCAGTACACATGAGGAAGCCCTAGGACTGATTCCCAACACTGTATGAAACAGATGTTTTGGCAACATTAAGTAACATAACAAGAGTCAAGTGACCTGAGCATGGTCCCCTGGCCAAATGTAATTCTTACTGTAGGAGCAAGAAGCCACCCTCCTCTTCCCCATTTCCTTCTGCTGCTGTTTTGTTTCTGAGACAGGTCTCACTTGTGTAGCCCTGGCTGGCTGGAAACTCACCATGTAGACCAGATCATCCTGGAACTGCAAGGTCTACCTGTCTCTTGCTCTCAAGTGCTGAGAACAAGGGCATTTGGTCCCACTCTGCGTTTTGTTTGTTGTCTTTAGTTATGATTTGAGACAGGCTCTCTTGTAGCCCAGGCTGGCCTCCAACTCACAATGTAGACAAGGATACCCTTGAACTTCTTCTGATCCTCTTGCCTCAGCCTCCTGATATTACAGGTATGTAGTACCACCACTGGTCTAGCATGTCAAAAGCAAATGACCCCCACTGTCCCCAGAACCACCAAAATTCTTACTAGTACACTGAATAGGATCACTTTCACAGCTTCTCTGAACCATTGGCATGCCATCCAGAGCTGCTGGGCTCTTTTTCATCACCTCAGGGAGCTGTAACCACAGAATAAAATCAACTCCAAAGAAATCTGAGTCATGAGATGGAAATAGCTGGCTTCCTGATGCTCTTAAGTCTCTTGATCCAGCCATACCTGATACCTTGTTGACTCTTTGATTATGTCAATAATTTTCTTTCATCCCCTTGAAACTAGCTTAATTTCTGTCATAGACAACCAAAAACGTTCTATTAAAAGTTGCAGATTATTTTAGGGACTACGTGCTTGTGAATATGCATGAATGTAGAGGCTAGAGGTCTGTGTCAGGGGTCTTCAACCCCTCTCTACCTTAATAAGCACGTATGTGGTGATATTTTGTTTGTGCTCTGACAAATAAAGCTTGCCTGGAGATTAGAGGGTGGAGCTAGTCACTAGTTAATGACAGAAGCCAGGCAGTGGTGGCACACACCTTTAATCCCAGCACTTGGGAGGAGGAAGCAGGAAGATCAGGAGTTCAAGGTTGCCCTGGGCTATACGAGATTGATCCAGTCTAAAAGAGAAGCAGAGCCTGTTGGTGGAGGCTCATGCCTTTAATCCCAGCACTAGGGAGGTGGAGATAGGAAGTGATATGACTAGGCGGAGAGAGGAATATAAGGCAGGAGACAGGAGCTCACCCCTTTTTTTGGTCTGAGTTGTTATGGAGGTAAGAGGTGATTTTGGCTAGCTCCTCTGATCTTTAGCATTTACCCCTATATCTTTAGCATTTACCCCTATATCTGACTCCAGGTTTTTATTATTAAGACCAATTAGAATTTGCACTACACACATGTGTGCATGTGTGTGTGTGTGTGCGTGTGTGTTTGTGTGTGTGCACGTGCACGCGTGCATGGGAATATGTAAGTATGAGCACACAGTGTGTGCACCTGGGGGAAGATCCCTCTATTACTCTCCAAATTATTCCTGTAAGACAGTTGTCTCTTTCTGAACCTGGAGTTCATGTTTATCCAGCTAGGCCGGGAGCCAGCAAGCTCCATGGATCTTCCTGTCTAGCCCCCATCCCACACAACACCGGAGTTATTTGCAGTTATAGGTTATAGGCATGTCCAGCTTTTTCACATGGTGCTGAGGGTCCTCACGCTTGCATGGCAAGCGCTTTACCCACTGAGCCCTCTTCCCAGCCTCACAGGCGGATCTGCGGCAATTGCAGGCTTAACAAAGCAAAGTCAGATCCTAACACACAGCGGTGGAAACTGTACTGTCGTAGATGAGGTCAAGAGCAGCGGGCCACAGCACAGAGGGTGCAGGGGACCCCACAACATTCTGAAAGTCATCCCAACCAACTCAGGAAGTGAAATCTCCCTCTGAGTCTTCCAGTTAACAGCTGTTTCAGCCTATAAACAGAGCTTCTGAACGAGAGCAAGCACTTTCTGAAGTCTATAGAGGGCTGTTTGTTGCCAGTTTTGTTAGTAAAATGCAAGGAAGTCCTGCATACCTTTGCCACCCAAGTGCAGCCATGGGGATGGGGGGGGCTGGTTTCCTCCCCCCTGGGTTGTAAACTTGTCTTGTACAATTCAGCCTCTCTTGTTTAGGTAAAACATTCCCTGTTGCTGATTGGTCAATAAATAAAACACTGATTGGCCATTGGCTAGGCAGGAAGTATAGGCGGGACAAGAAGGAGAATAAAGCTGGGAAGTGGAAGGCTGAGTCAGAGACACTGCCAGCTGCCATGATGACAAACAGCATGTGAAGATGCCGGTAAGCCACGAGCCACATGGCAGGGTATAGATTTGTGGAAATGGATTAATTTAAGCTATAAGAACAGTTAGCAAGAAGCCTGCCACGGCCATACAGTTTGTAACCAATATAAGTCTCTGTGTTTACTTGGTCGGGTCTGAGCGGCTGTGGGACTGGCAGGTGAGAGAGATTTGTCCTGACTGTGGGCCAGGCAGGAAAACTCTAGCTACAGTTCCCCACAGCTGCCTGGTAGTGTGTGTGTGTGTGTGTGTGTGTGTGTGTGTGTGTGTGTGTGTGTGTGTGTGTGTGTGTGTGTGTGTCTTGTGTCGGTGAGGAATTCCCACTGAGCAGCAGGGACACCAGCCCTTTGGAACGCCTGGGTGTAGTGGGTATAGGATAGCAACTAATTGCTTCACTCAGGTGTTGCAGGTGCCCGGAGAAGCAGGCTTTCTTTGATGGTAAAACAAGCAGATATTTATTTTTACCAGACATCTTTTAAGCAGACACTATGACCCCAGTGGCAAAGCTCTTCTTTATTTTCTCTTCAAAAAGTCATATTTTCAGATAGCCACGGTGGTGCAAGCCTGTAATACCAGCCATTGGGAGGCTGAAGCAGGAAGATTGCTAAAAGTCAGAAACCAGCTTCGGCTATCCCCCCCCCCCCCAAAAAAAAAAAAAAAAAAAAAACAAACCCAAACCAAAACAAAACCCAAAACCAGATCTGGGAGCCAGCTCAGCTGATGTGATGGCTATTCTCGGTTGTTAAACTTAGCTACATCTGTAATTAAGGAAAACCCAGGCTGGGCACACCTGTGAGGAATTTTTTTCTTAATTAAATCATTTGAAGTGGGAAGATCCACTTCTAATCTGGGCCTTTGAAGTGGGAAGATCTACCTTTAATCTAGGCCACATTTTCTGCAGGCAGCTTATGTAAAGGACATGGAAGAAGGAAGCTTGCTCTCTCTTTGCCTGTTTGCTCTCACTCTTGCAAGTCCATTCCTTCACTGGCATCAGAGCTAACATCTAGTCTTGTGGACTGAACAACTAATGGAATCTTGGACCTTCCGTTGGTAGATAGCCATTGTTTGACTAGCAGGAACAGAGCTGGTAAACCATTGTAATACCGCCCCCCACCCCCATATAGGTTCATTCTATAAATTCCGTTCATCTAGATAACCCTGATTAGTACAGCTGATACAAAACTCAGAGTTCAGATCTCTAGAGCCTACATAAATGATGGACATGTGTGGTGGCTCACCTCACCTGTAATCCCAGAAGCTGAAGACAGAGACAGGCGATCCATGGGAGCAAAGTGGCTAGCTAGCCTAGCCAGATAGGTGAGCTCCGAGTTCAAGTGAGAGACCCTGCCTCAGTATATAAAGTGGAGAGTGATTGAAGGAGATATCTGTGTTACAGGGTGCCCACTGGAGAAGAACACTCAGTCTATAGCCAATTGAAAAACTTTATTCCAGCCACTGGGACTACATGTAGGTATTTTGGGATCCAAAGTGTAATGTTGAGTGTTTAGATTAAGGGGTTTTTAAATGTAAAACTCATATTTGGTATCTTGCTTGGCAGCTGCAGGCGGAGGTTTTGCAAGTAGTTTAACAGAAGCTAAGTTAGCTGAAGCATCTTGACCTCAAGTTCCTAGAATAGAGTTGGGTAATTTTCCATGGGGCATCCCTGATCAAATTCTAGTCAAACCTAAAATGGCCTCAGCAGGAATACAAGATGGAGGAAACTCTGCACTGTC